TGGGGAGTGGAATGTTCTGTCACTCATGCCCCCCAGCCCTCCAGTCTCCGGGACTAGCAATCAATCCCAGAGCTCGAGCTCCAGGGGCTGCACATCTGGGCTGCACATCTGGTTCTGCATGGCACAGCTGGGGCGCCAGGACGCAGACAGGGACGTCTGGCCCCCCGTGCCGCGCCCCTTGGCTTCTCGGGCCCTCGCCCGGGCTCTTGTACTATTTCTTGTGACTTCTGGTGACCAAGGACTGGCGCATTCCGAACTTTCCGCCCCGCTCCTTTCCTAGAGCCGCGGTTGTTCCTCCTGCCTCGGGCCTCCGCCCCCACTTTCCAAGCGCCTTATTACGTTATTGCTTCTGTTCTGGCCTCTCTGGGGGGCCTTGACCCTGCACCTATTTCTGGTGCCAGTCTCTGATCCCTTGCCTGAGATCCTACTTCTAAGTCCCCACCCATCTCTGGATCGTGATCTCTGGGGCTGATCTGGGACGCAGACCTCCGTGAGTTCCGGATCCCATCTCTCCCCACCCTCGCGCACTCTCCCATCAGAAAGACTAAGGCCACCCGACCAAGCCGCGTGAGGGACGGCAGAAGTCATTTGCTGAGGATTAGGGGTGGCCTGGGGCGTGCGGGGTCCCGTGGGGACTAGATTCCAAACGCCAAATCGCACCACGACACTAATCTTCGCGCGGGCGCCCAAGCTCTTAGGGGAGATGCCTCGGGCGCCCCCTGTCGGGTCCTGCAGGCTCTGCGCCCCACAGTTTGGGGCAGGTTAAGTCTGTGCCTGGAGCGTCGGTCCAAGTCCCGCCTGCCTCTCCTGCCACTCCCACCGCCAAGGCACTGGGTCCCGCAGCTTCCCCTCTTCTGGTTTGAGGTGGGGCGGGGGGGGGGCAAGAAAGGAGAGGGCACGAGGGATCTCCCACCTCGTCAGCTGTGGGAGGAACCAGAGGTTCAGGCAGGTTCCTCTCTCGGAGCTGGTGGGCTCCAGATGCCCTGGGCTGGGTCTCTGCCCTAAGACTGCCCACTGCCCTCTGCCCCGACTGCCCCAGTCTCTGGCTGCCCTTCTTTCTGCTTCTTTCTTCTTCCAGCCCTTTCTGTCTACCTCTGTCTCTCTGTGTCTCTGTGTATGTCTGTGTCTCTCTGTGCCTTATCATTCTGGCTGTGTCTGTCTGTCTCTCCCTCTGCAGCTCTATCAGGCTTTGCCCCTCTGTATCTGTTTCTGTGTCTCTCTCTGTTTGTCTCTCCTTCCGTCTACATCTCTCTACCCTCTGTGTCTCTCTTTACAAATGCCTGTCTCTGTCTTTATCTCTTTCTCCCCCCCCCTCCCATCCCCCATTCTATTCCTATTCTCCAGCTTGCTGCCCCTGGGGGGGCTGCAGCAGTCCAACGAGACAGCCTGGAGACACCTCAGGGCACTGCCCGGGGTCTACTTCCCGGTCACCTCCACATGCCCGTCACCTCGGTGTGGACTCCGTCTTCCCTCTGCAGCTGTGGGGCAGGGAGGGGGCGCCCGGGAGGGAAGACATGGTGCCCAGCATCTGCTCGGGAGCCCCGGAGCCTCTGACCCCCTTTGCAGCTATTAAGGGCGCCGGGTCCCGAGGCTCTGAGAGATGATCATGATTGCATCAGCCAGACAGCCGTGGAGCTGGGAGCCGCGCGGCGAGCGAACGAGCGAGACAAAGACGCCCGCGCCATCTGTTTATGCAAAGCGCTCTCCGCCAGGGACCCCGGAGTCCCGGTGCCTCGCCCGGCTCGGGGCACCGGGTTCATGAGCCCGCTCCTGCCCGGCGCCCCTGCTGTGCCACGGCTCCCCCCTTCCCAGCACCCAGAGGGGCTGTGGGGCGAACGGAATGGAGGGGGGCGGGGGGGTGTTGATGTGATTGGAGCGGACGCGGCTGTTTCTTCAATAATGGATGGAGATGATGCGGACGGCGGAGCCAAGCCCTCCCAGAGAGGAGAGAGGAATAGAAATAGGGAGAGGAAGGGGCGGGTGCGGGAGACTCACCCAGGCGCTCCCGCGCGGGCAAGCACACACACACACACACACACACACACACACACACGAGTGCGCGTGTGCGTCACACTGTCATTCGAATACACGCTGTCGCGCGGCTCACACCCAGGCACACGCCCCCGCACTGTCACGGAGATACATACACCTGCAGGCAGAGACGCCAGAGCAACACACACTCACAGGGGTGGCTCTTCCTGATACATAGGCAGTCCTGCAGGCAGAGACACGTGGAAATGCCCACACTCGGGGCACACCCAAGTGTGAAGATCGCACACATAGACACGCCAAAGCACGTATGCACACCTAGACACTCAGGGGCTAAGCCAGACAAAAATTATAGAGGTTGGGGGGGATAGAGAATGGGGACAAGTCCGACCAATACATACTTAAGGGCACAGACACACACCAGGGTCACACATACCAACTTACACTCACATCTTGTGCTGATATACACACCTCACACACTTGGGGCACAGGCACACACACCAGCGGCACAGACACCCATAATCTCCAGGGACACAGAGGGACCCCCACCAACCCCTACACATTCAGAGGTTCACACCCACACAGGAACTGCTGTCTATGCCCTCCCGTGGTAGAGTGTGGCAGAGGTTGCTGGGGTCCTAGAAACAGGCCTTATTAGCCTACCCACATAATGAGGTAGTAGTGACAGGAGGTGCCTGGGGCTGTGGACCCTGCTACCCTGCTTGACAGCCTGCTAGCTTCCTTCCTTGGCGCCCAGGGTGGGTGGTACAGACCTTGGGCCTCTCAGATAGCAGCCAAGCCAGCTGGTCCCAACCCCAGCACTTGGGGAGGGTTAGGGAGCCACCGAGGGACATTGGTGGCTGTATAGGGACTGCCAGGATTACCCACACAGCTGGGAGGGAGATGTGGAAGGGACGATCACTCTGTGTTTCCCGTCATTACCCCGTGCTGCCCAATCTCCCCACTTGTAAGGCAGTACGTTCTTCGCTAAGAGCGGAGTGGGTACTGCAGAGGGGTAGGGTGTGGGTTGTGTCCTGGACCAGGGTAACCTGGCCCCTCCTCCAGTCTGTTTTCAATTCAGTCCATTCCTTGGCCCAGACTTATGACCTTTGCTGCCTGTGGCAATATCATCCATCACCTAGGCGGCCGTTTGTGGGAGTGAGGGGCGTTGGGGGCTCACACAGGGTCGCTGTCGCTCCTGCCTCCTTCATGAGTCCTGCTCTCCAGTGGCAGGCCTGGGCTCAACCAGTGGGCAAGTGTTGGGGGGAGGGCGTTGATCATGGGGCTCAATCGCGATACTGGGCCGGTGTCCTCACCCCTGGCACCCCAAGCCCCCGTCCTCTGAGCTCCGCGCAGCCGGCCTCCCCGCTCCTCCCGCCCTCCCTCTCTCGGGCCCTTTGCTTAATTTCCTATTAACTGCTGATAAATCCAATTAAACCGCCGCTCTAATTAGGGACAGCTGCCGGCTCCGCGAGGCGGGGAAGGGGGGTGCCCCCCGAGTGTAGAGCGGGGAGAACAGCAGCTCTCTCTGCTTCTCGGCACCCCCACACCAGCATCACCACCCAATGAGCCAGTAAATTGGTTTTGCTTCTGCATTGTGGGGGGGCCCCTCTCGAGGATCTCAGTTTTGAGTCCCTCGGATCTCTTGATGAAGAGATGCGACCGGAGTCCTAGCATCCCCGCACTGGGCCTCCGACCCCCCACCCCCACCACGCCTTTCTTGGTAGGCGGATCCCGAGGAGGGATGGGGGCAAAAGGCTGTATTTGTGTGTGGTGGTGGAGGGGGGCTGCTTGTGATCTGCTCCTATTCCAGCCCAAGCGTGATTACAGGGGGGCTGCCTGAGTTTTCCTCTATGACCCTGCCGCCGGCCCCAGGCGTCCGGCAAGACAGTCAAGGGCAAAGGGAACAGGAAACCGAACCAGGTTCCGCTTAGAGTTTTCCTGTGTGCTTCCCTACCCCCTCCACACCTCAGCCTTCTGGAAGGAAGGGGTGCGCGTCCGTCCCGGGCCCTTCTCTTCTCCAGCCCAGCTGAGCCTCTGCCCTCCCCCTGCCAGCAGCAGATGGTGCCCGGGCTCCCGCTGCCAACCTTGCTAGGCGGTGCCAACCTCAGGCCTGGCAGACAACGGGCAGAAGAGGATCTCCTGACTGCCGGGGCTGACCCTCCCCCATCCGCCATCAAGCTCCAGACCCTCGGCCAGCCCTACTCCAGGGACCACCCCAGGCTGCCTCTCACTGGTCCGCTCCCAGGTCCCCAAACTCCTCGTATCCTTCAGCTCCCTTCCCCACACCTTCCCGCTCCCCGCCACCTGCCACCCTGACCGGGGCCGGCACATTTGCATATTTGCATATGCAAACAATAATATTTGCATACGGCGCGCCGCAGGGGGGGTCTCCGCGTGAGCCGGTTTGCTGTCTGCCCGGCGCCCTCTCACTCGGTACCTGTCGCAAAGGGCTGGGCGGGGGCCGCGCGGGAGGGGTTAGGCCCCCCCGGCCTCGCTCTCTCGGTTCCCAGAGGACTTGAGGAAGTGTTGCCATGGAGACGGCACGCACCCCACCCCCTCCCAGGCCCAGGGTCTCCGGCACGGTGTCTCAGGTTCTCTCCTTCCGCCCCCCCCCCCCACCCCGCCTTCTCCCGCCCCGTCCCTCGCTCTCCAACGGAGATCTTGCATCGCCCCCTGGCGGCCTAGCTCGGCACTGAGCCAGGTTCTGAAACGCAAGGGGTCTGCCCGCGGCTAAATCGCCAAGAGCTAGGGGAAATACCCTGGTGCCAGGTCCTTCTAGCCGCCGCGGTGGGGGGGGGGTGGGGGGGGCGTGACTCCAGTCAGGCTCCCCTTTCTTCAATGACAACAGAGGCCTCGCCTGGCGGACGCACCTGCCTCCCCATCTCCCACCGGACTCGGCCCAGGTGGATGTCCGGTTAGCCGATGGTAGTGAGCTGACACAGCTGGGGAGGATTCTCCACGGCTTCCTATGCCCTCGACTCGGCCCCCAGTTAAAGAACAAACTTTTCTAACTTTTTTCAAAACTTTAATACAGTCGCAGCGTTCGACCGTTCTCCTCCCACACCCCCGGGGCGCCTCCTGGTGGAGACGCGTTCTTCTTCTTCCAGCTCTCAAGGGCTGGGCCTGAGGAGTTGCAGGTGAGGCGGCTCTGCCCGCCAGGTATCCAAAGGCCGAGGCCGGGGGAGGGGGGCAGGAACCAGTCCCTAACCCGAAGCCCCGTCTAGCTCCGGCGGGCTTTCCCTCCCCTCCCCCATCCAGCATAGTTGCTTTCGCCCCTTTCCTCCCCAACCTCCACTGGGCCTGCCCAGAATGGGGCCTGGGTATATCCCGTCCGCAGGCGCCGGCACGCCTAAATCTCCTCCAGGAAGTCGGTGGGAAACAGCCCCACCTTGCGGCCGGTGTAGACCTTGACGTAGCCGCCGGCTTCATCTCCTTTCTGGACCACGATCTGAACGAAGGATTAAAGGTTTAGAGAGGAGAGTGATCCAAGGAAAAGGTGGAAGAGGAGAGCAGGGGAGCCCGGATTTATGGAGGCCTATCCTAGCCCCGTTAATGGCTTAAGATCTGCAAGGAGTATGGTTTGCCGAGGAACCTTGGGGTCTGGGGTTGGATTGGGGCACCAGAGCTACCTGGTCAGTTCTACCTACCTACCTACCTACCTATCATCTATCTATATTTATTTTATATTTTTAAAAGATTTTATTTATTTATTTTAGAGAAAGAGCACGAGCAGGAGGGGCAGAGGGAGAGAGAGAAAGAATCTCAGGTGACTCCACCCTAAGCAGAGTCCACACAGGGCTCAATCTTCCCACCCTGAGATCACGACCTGAGCAGAAAGCTAGAGGCGGTTGCTGAACCCACTGTGCCACCCAGGAGCCCCTACCTGGTCCTTCTTGAGAGTGATCTGCCCAATTTCGCGGTTTCCCACGAAGGATCTGGTCACGCGGTGCACACGCTCTCCAGACCGGACCCGAATGATGAAGTTTGGAGGGAAAAATCCAACCTTCTCCCCTATTTTCCCCTAGAGGAGATGGTAGGGCGAGTCAGTCTCTCAGTCTCAGATTCTAAAGTCAAGCGATGTCCCACCCTAGCCTCAGCCATTTCTCTTACCCGCCACCACTCCTCATTGGAGTCATCAATGACTGTGATCTTCTCTCCAGGCCTGCGAGAGGAAGGGAGAGGCCTCTGAGATGTAGGGGGCTTACTTACCTATCTGGCCTGGGTCCAGCCCCAACAGGCTCCAAGCCCTGAGTGCCCCCGCTTTCCTTTCCCATTGGGAGCTAGGCTCTCCCCCTCCACTCCCGGTGCATGCCCATCCCAGTCCTACGGCCTCTCACGGGAAATCCAGATCGTCCTTCTCCAGGGCTTTGAACCGATAAAGAGCCACAAAGTAATGAGACTGCTGGAAGCCAGGCTGCTTGTGCTGGGGGGTGAAAGGAAGTGATGAGTCTCTGGGCTCCTCTGTCCCACACTGAGGGGCAGGAGTCCAGGGCAGGGGAATTCTCCAGACACACTACATTACAACTCTCTTCCAGGTCCCTGAACTATGAGTATTCTGTTGCGTGCATGCATGCACGCATGCGTGTGTGTGAGGTGATGGAGAAGGCAGGTTAAGGGTGATGGGGACCCACGGAGTATGTGTGAACTTCTGCTGAGGCCATGAGTGGTGTCAAACCTGGGTTGGGGAGAGGACTGGGGTCCCTGCAGGGAAAAGGAGTCTCACTTTGTCATCAGGTGTCTTCTTTTCAGCCTTCTTATTCCCTTCAGGGTTTCCTGGGATGGGAAACACCAATAAGTTGTCTCTAGCTACTGGAGGGTAGCCCCTCATTCTTTCACTCTTCTGTTGCAGAGCCTCTTTGATCTCCAAACCAGGCATGCCCTTTGGCCTTCCATCCTGTATCACAGCCAAGCCCCTGACCCTACTCCATCTCTAGGGATGGAGGTAGGTAACACTCACCATCCTGGGTTTTGCCTTCCTCTGGTCTGGCAGACTCTGGCTCTTCTTCCATCATGGCTGCTAGAGGCTGGAGGGGGTACCAGAGTTAGGAAGATGCTCTCTTGGGAACCCACGCTTGCCCTGGCTCTCCAGCCAGGCCAGCCAACTACAGAATAATGGGATCTCAGGGTTGGAAGAACCCTTGGAGGAAACACCTAGTTCAACCACCAGCCTAATGCCTGAGCTTCCTGTAAAACATCTTGGTAGGTGGACCATCCACATTGTGCTTGAATGTAGCTAATGACAAGAGCTCACGACCTTACAAAGTAAGCCCATGCCATCTGAGGGTAATTCCATAAATTAAACCTATTCGGTCTCCCTGTAACTTTTAGTAATGGTCCTGATTTGGCCTCTGGAGCAATATAGAACAAACATAGTCCCCTTGAAGATCTGAGGATAGCTGATAAGTCTCTTCTGTCTTTTCTTCCCTAATTAGTCCCTTCAAATCACCCCCTCCCCCATGATGCTGTTTCCAGAATTTTCACTATGTCCGTTCTTAAAAATACTCTAGTGTGTAAGAAAAAAAAAAATGAGCAGCACAGTTTTTATAATTCCCTTAAGAGAATAGAACCTGAGTGTGCTTGCCTTTCTGGAAGCAGTCAAGTCACACTGCTAGGGCTTTGTAAATCATAGTTCATTCTACAAAAATCTCTAATTTGCACCCAACCTCCATATCAACTACTCTGAGGCCAATCCCTAGTTCTGTTTTTGTGCAGTTGATTTTTTTGATCCAAGAACAGGCATATACATTTTTCCTTACAAAATTTCAAATGACTGGTTTTGGGCTTTTCTTCTAGTCTGTAAGATATTTAAATATACTATTTTGTGTATAGGTTTTCCCTCCTAGGTTTCCCACAAACTTCAGGGATAATACCATTTATATTTTCATTTGTGTCAGTGAGAAAAATCTCCATAGGTGAGGACCGAGGACCAAATCATGTTATAAGGTATCAGAAATCTCCGTCTAGCTAGACACTCCCTAAAGGACCTGAATCCTTTGGGCACAGTCATTCATCCAATTTTAGGGCCCTATCTACCTGTTATCCACATCAGTCCCTCCCGGTTGTCCAGAAAGCTGTAACGATATGCTAACAAATTCTTTGCCAAACTGAATGCAAGTCTATGGCATTACCAATCTAGTAACCCTAATACAAAAGGAAATGAAGTTACTTTTGGCTGCTAGTCTGGTGCCTCAGTTTCCTTGTCTGTAAGATAAGTGAGTCAGACAAGATGATATTCATGGACCCTTCATGGATCTTCATGGTCCCTTCATGGCTCTAGAATTCTAATTACTTGGCATGATAAGTTTGCTTCCCCAAATCCAAAAGTATGGCTCTTGCCTCTTTTCAGCAATGCCGGGGTTCTGAGACCTAGGCTTCAGTGGATTATGGTGCTTAATCTGACAATTTCAGAAGGGAGTTTCTGGAGAAAGTACATGCTATGGCAGGAGTTCTCAACCTGAGGCCCTCTGATATTATATGCAAAAATTGTCTGTTGGGTTATGTTCCACTTTAGGGGAAGAGAATCCTTGGCTTCTGTCAGCTTTCCAGAGAGGAGAGAGGACCTGCTGCTCCAGGGAATCTCTCAGAGGGACCTCAGGAGGAAAATATGGTGCTCACATTTTTCTTATCTGCCTGGCCTTTCTTCCGTTCCTTGTTTGCCATGATCACCCCAGTGCGCAGGGTTTCAAACACAGGATCATTGTGATTGGCAGCAGCTAGTGGGAATGGGAAGAAGAAAGAAGCCATTACTGTGGAAGCAGAGAAAGACCTGGAGGAAACAGAAACCTTCTAAATAAGGGAGAGGTGGGATGGAGTAGATGGATACGTGTGTGTGTGTGTGTGTGTGTGTGTGTGTGTAGAATTAGGGTAGGGTCAGCTGGGCATATCTAAGTCATCAATCTATAAAGAGCTCTAAAAACATCACTGGAAATGTCATGTGATGGAGAAAAATACTTACCAGCACTCCTTCCAGGCAGAGCACTTGTTGGAAAGACAGCTGTGCTACTAAGTTGTTTGGGAGTTGGGGAATGCTCACAGTCACTATTCTCCTTCTAAGGAGAGTGGTCCTTTAACTGTTGGCTTTTGTCCCATTGAGTGGCATGTGCAAGCTGGGGGCTGCCACCAGTGTGTTCTTCTTTTTCCCACCCATGCTCCTCATAAAGTTCAGCCACTCCTCCAAATAAATGTTGAGTAAATTGTCAATGGATTTGTTTGTAAGGGGTACCAAATTATGAATCTGCCCAGGATGCCCACAGCTCTTGGTCTAGCCCTGAGACTGGTATTACTCTGTATCAAGGATGAGGACAGTCAAGAATCCTTGTTCTTGCTTAGAAATAGTTTTACATATGAAGAGCCCAGATTTTGAAGCGAGGCAGATGAAAGTTTCAGTCTTGGCTCTCTGTCTCTTGCTAGCTGTGTGGAGCCCTCACTAAATCTTATCTCCCTCAGCTATAAAACAGGAATATTGACTCTGTATTCAAGTTGGCTAAAATATTAGGTAGAGAGAAAAACCATGGGAAACAGAATCTTTCTGTTTCAGAATTTGGTTTCCAAATCTAGAAGTGGTGCTGGAGCCATGTCTAGCTTGCCCTTGCCCTCGGGTCCCATATGGAGCACTTACAGAGATCTTTGACACAAGCGTACTGCTGGTTGCTGTAGAGTGGGGAGCTATAGGCCCGATGGAAACCAGGGGGCTGTAGGATGGGATGGGAGAAAGCATTAGAGACAGCAAGGTATGGCCCAGAACCCCATCTCTCCCATGAGTGCAATCCCTTCTTAGAGTAAGAAACGGGTTGAGAAGGAAAAAGCAGGGAAATGGATGTGATGACTTGGGAGGGACTGGAAGAGGGGAGCTTGGCTATGCATTCTCTCCTTTCTACTTCCTCACTCCCCAGAGCCTACTCACGATCTTGCCGAAACATCTCTGCATCTCCACGTAGGACTGACAGTGCTCATGGATGTTAGTTTTGCAGTTCTTACAGCGAAGCCCAAATTTGTTGTTGACTTGGGAGAGGGAAGAACATTTGGGTGAGGTTCTTGATCTCCCCTTCCCTTTGTAGCAGTGCTGCTACTCTAGCTCTCAGGTCCCTTTTCTTTTTAGGACCCAACACTATCAGTTTCTAATAGTGTTGTTTTTATTTTTTGAAGATTATTTATTTGAGAGAGAGTGAGTGCCCACAAGTGGGGGAGGAGCAGAGGGAGAAGGACAAGCTGACTCCCTGCTGAGCATGGTGCCCCATATGGGGCTCGGATTCAAGACTCTGAGATCAAGACCTGAGCTGAAATCGAGTTGGATGCTTAACCAACTGAGCCCCCCACAAGCGCTCCTCCAATAGTGTTTTCTTTTTAAGATTTTATTTATTTATTTGAGAGCTAGAGATCACAGAGGGAGAGAGAGAGTGAGAAGCAGACTCCCTGCTGAGTAGAAAGCCTGACTCCGGACTTGATTCTCCCGGACCCTGAGACCATGACTAGCCGAAGGCAGAACTTTAACCCACGGAGCCCCCAGGCGCCCCTCTGATAGTGTTTTCTTAAAGCCACCTCTTGCCACAGCCTGTCTGCCATACAAATGCTCCTCTCCTGAGCCTGTTCCCCCACCTCCTGCCTTCAACATCACACTCTCTCCACTTAACCTTCGTGACTCACGCACAATCATCCGGGCACAGACATCACAGAACTTGGGCTTCTTGAAGAAATGATCTTTGAATTTGTGAGGCTTGTCATTGACAAGCTTAGGAGGTTCTGGGGGGGGGCTCCTCCTCCTCCTCCTCTTCTTCCTCTTCTTCCTCATAGATGTAATAGATGGGCCCCCCACCAGCTCCCACTGCCTCCCCATTGGCCTGGGGCTCTGGGGGAAGCTCCATTTCCTTTGTTCCCGGAGACTCCTTCCTGAATAACTGCTTCAGCCGCTGTAGCTGAGGGAGGAAGAGGATGAGGGAGGGGAGGAAACCCAAAATTAAAAGAACTGTCATGCTCTCTAGAGCAGGAAAGGCTGAAGCTAACTAAACATTTTTCTAGTGTGGGCAAGGGGCACCCCCCAGGATTAGGAGTATTGGGGGCTGCAGGTGCTGGCTAGCATTCTGATGACGGAGGAGTCACATTCAAGTGAGATCAATTCAAGCATTCTTCAAGGACTGTGGTGGCTTCCCAGCTCCCCAGCTCCCCACACCCGGGGGTCCCAGGCCCAGACTCACCCCACTTTGCCGAGTCTCTCCTGGCAAGGAGGGCTTAGGGGACTCCAGCACCTCCTTTTCTGTCATCCTGCAAGAGGTTGGACCCCACTATTAAATCTAATCCCTGACTGCCACTCTTCCTGTCCTAATTCCTGTCCCTCATTGCAGGGTGGTCCTTGAGTGGACTTTGGGAGAAATTTGGTTAAACAGAAATCCTTTCACAGGCTTATGGACAGAAAGATTCCATGGAGGTCCAGAGAAAAGCGCAACAGACTAAAGAACTTCCCAACTGGTTCCTCTAACTGATACCAAACCTTCCCCACCCTGAGGGGCAACCTGAGTTTCCAGCCCCAATACAGTGCTCAAAGCTGCATGGTTTAGGGATTTGCCTAGTTTGTTTCTCCTGGGAATCTGTGGGCAAGGGAGAGGTGACATACACCCTTCCAGATTCCCTTTCTTGAAGAGGTTTAATGTGTGTGTCCAGAAGCATGCTTGGAGGGATGGGCTGGGGACATTTGTTCACCCCTACCCCTTTCTTGAGGCTCAGGGGCCCAGGGCCTAGTTCCCAGCCTGCTTCAGTCCTCAGCTATTTTAAGTTTTCAGAGTAATATGAGCCTTTCCTTCCCTTACTACTCCATTCCCTTGACCCCACCCCCACCCCACCCTCCAATCCTCGCTCTTGTCCTGGAGTCATACTTTCACTCCTAAAACCCTAACTACTCACAGGCCAAACTGAAGACACTGAATAGGCTACAGATTGGGGAAGTTGCGGGGAGCAGTTCTGGCAATGGACAGAGGATGAAGAGGCAACTTACGTTTGGGATTCCCTAAGTCAGTCCACAGTCTGTGGAGGGAAGAGGGAGCCCCTGGGGTCTTGATGGTGGTGCTGGGGGAGGACTGGTCCTCTTCCTTGGGGGCTAAGCCCCCCCAATACCCTCTGTACTCACACCGGCTACCCAGACGTTATTTGTAGACCTCCCAGTCTCTCGCCTTGGTGTCAGAGCTGAAATGACAGGGCTGGAGGAAAGTGGACAGCTGAGTGACACAGCTGACACAGAGAAATTGGACACGGGGAGGTCTGGGCTGGGCTGGACCCTAACTCCTCCCATCCCCCAGAGCTGCTATGCCCTGGTTTTTTATCTATGGTGTACAGGTCAGTTCTGGCTAAATTCAAGAAGGGACAGTGTTTATGCCACATACTCATTTAGGTGATTTTGGATGACAGAAGGTATAGATCAAATTGTACACAGTGTTCCCCAAGGTCCAAACACCTCTCCAATTCTACCTTCCCTGGACCTACTTTAGGAACTAGCTTTTGATTTTTCAGCCACTGTCTTCCTGTGGCCATGTGTTTTCATACCCACAAACACTGATCTAACTCTACTTCAAACCTTTAGGAAGCAAAGGGCCAGGAACTGGTGAAGAAAGGAGAATTTCAATTCTCCGAAGTTTCCTATCAGCCAGACTAGATTGCATCCTTATCCATGGGTAGCTGGAAGGGTACCTCGCTGCCATCCTGAAAGGGAGTGAAGAACATGCATAGCACTGCTTTATTCCCTCCAGTGTGCCCAGGAACATCCTCCCATCCCCCATTCTAAAATCTTGTCCTCAGGGTGAAGAGAAATCTAAGAGCTACTGAAAAAACTCCAGGCTGGGATTTCTGAGAGGCTCTGGGGGAGTGCAGTGATGGTTAGGTAGAGATGGTATCATTCCCATTGGACAGAAGGCAGTTACCACACAGAGGGGTTTTTTCTTCTCTAAGTAATGTCTGCCTCCCCGCGAGGACTGAAAACTTTTGAGGTAAGACAGCTATGCCCCACACTTCTGTAATCATTCTGATTCCCTGACTCCGTCTCCCTCATCTGATGCCCCGGTATATGAACTTATGGGTCAGTGAGGTATCTGGCATTCTTATCTCGCAGGGATGCAGCCTTCTACTCTGGGCTGTGACATGGCTGAAAGAGAAGATACTCCCATCTCAGAGGACAGCCATTTGGATGTAGTCATGTAGTGCTGCTTTATCCCTTGTATCTGTAAGAAGTAAAGGATTACATTGGAGGTTGGGTCAGACAAGCCTCAGAGGAGCCTGGCTAGAGATACTGCTACCCAGACCCAAGAGATTTCCAGGGTAATGTGCTTTGTCATTTCTGTCACTGCTCTTTTTCCTTAAGGGGTGGGTGAGATTGAATAGGGGTTGCTGGATGGCTCCTAATGGCTCCGGTCTGACAGGCTGTGCAACAAGAGGGCAGAGAGAGGAAAAGCTCGATCCATGCAGAGTGGGGAATGTCTGCTTTTCACCTTTCTTCAGTTGCACAGGACAGGGACTGCTGAGTGTGCCTGGATAATACAGCATCTTGGCATTGCAAGTTCAATTGATGGAGCTTTTATCCTAAGAAACATCTACTTCTGTCCTGCCATGCAGAACACAATGGCTTTCGTTTTAAAGAAAGGCCCAAGGGGCACCTGGGTGGCTCAGTGGGTTAAAGCCTCTGCCTTCGGCTCAGGTCCTGATCCCAGGGTCCTGGGATCGAGCCCCGCATCAGGCTCTCTACTCCTCGGGGAGCCTGCTTCCTCCTCTCTGCCTGCCTCTCTGACTACTTGTGATCTCTGTCTGTCAAATAAATAAATAAAATCTTTAAAAAAAAAAAAAAAAGAAAGAAAGAAAGGCCCAAGTCCTCCAGCCCTGAAGAGTTTCCAAAAGATCAGATTCTGGACATGTATGAGGCCACCATCACAACCCAGTTTTGGACCTCACTCACCCCTCCCCAGACAGCCATGAGGACCCGACATGAGTATCACAGAATTAACATAGTGAAGGAACCTCAGAGGTAAGCTAATTAGTCCAAGTCTCTTATTTTACTAATAAGGACTCAGAGGTCTGGAGTTGAGAACTGATGTGCTTGATGAAACCACACTTATTGAAAGAGTGGGGGGAGCCCAGAACAAAGGTCCCACTGGAGACCCAGCCATCTCTCCAAATATTATGGGCAAGGAGGAGAATGGGATGAGGGAATACTGTTAGGAAGGTATGTGTGCATAGGCCAGCTAGGGAAAGCCATCCCAACCTATATGGGATCCCTCTAATAGCTGTGGGACTGTACCTACCCAGGACCTCCAACCCCCACCCACATCAGGGCAGCAACAGAGAAACAGGGACTGACGTCCAGTGACAGATTTTTTTTTTTTATATTTAAAAACAAAATCAACCTCCCCCCAAGTAACCCCCCAAACAAACAAAAAATCAGATTAAATAAAATTTACAGTGAATATACCCAGCAAACATCTGTATGTGCAATTAAATACTGTCTGTTACTGTGGCACAAACCTCAAACAAACAATATACAAGTGTTCTGGGAGGTGGGGGGAGGCCCAAGTTTTAACTCTTTGGGGTTTGGGGAGACAAGATGGGGGAAGTGAGAGGAAGGGGAAATCAATTTTGCTTTTCTTAATTCTGTCCATATAAATATATTCATAAAGACCAGAAATGAAAAGGGAGCTTGGGATGGTAAGAAGATCGAATAGGGGAGTGTGGGACCCTCCCAAATCTACCTGACCAAAAAAATATGAAAAAAATTAATTTCATGGTGGGAGAAGAGATTAAAAAATGGCAGAAGAGGATAGGAAGGAGAGGGAAGCAAGGGGGGGCCAACCAGGGAAAAAGAGGGGACCCATGGCAGGGGAGCGAGAAGGAGTCCAGTGCCAGTGTGTCTGTTCCATCTTCATCCCCACTGTCTTAGGCTCCAGTTCAGTGTCTGTCACCTTCCTTTCTGCCTCTGTCCGTGGTCTGTCGGGATCCCTCGGCCCCCTCCCCCATCCCCCCACTGCGCTGGTGCCTTCCCCTCCTCCGTTTATTGGGAACTGGCTCGCTCCAGGATCCTCAGGTCATAGTTCTTTTTGGCCACTCGAAGTTTGAAGCGACTCACAGAGTTGTTGAGGCGAAGGGAGGCATTCTGGGCAGCCAGGGGGCTGGGAAACACAGCCACGATGGTGTACAAGGCAGCGAGGTCTGCATGACGGCCGTTCTCAGCAGTCCCACCGTTGTCCCCCCCACCCCCGCCAGGCAGCCCCTGAGCATCCTTGAGCCACTGGATCTTGGCGCCAGACATGGCAAGCTGAGTGAAGAGTTTGTCCGCTTCGGTCCGAGTGATGCCCTCAGGGAGATCTGTCACCTCCAGCACCCGGCCCAGGACTGAAAGGGGAGGAGAAAGGACATGGTTATGAGAGGACTAGTGAGGTCCCTGCAGAGAATTCTGCAGCCGAATCAAGTCTATTGACAGCGTCCTCAAGAGCCTGGCCTCACCCATCTTCCCCAAATCAGTGTAACACCCCACCATCTAGGAGAAACAAAGAAAACTTTTCTTCTCTTAGATCAAGAAGAAACTGGGGATCAGAATCCCAGATTTCTTCAGGTCTGGAGACCTACACCTCATTTCTTGTGCCAAGTCAGTAGCCCAATCTGAAATATATCCCACAGTCATCCCCTTCCCAGAGATCCCTCTTCCTTATCATCTAGGGAAGTCCATTTCCCTGCCTTTCCTTGTTTAGCAAACCCCTCCAAATAGGGGTAACCTGAGAGATCTTGTATGCCTAGTGGGGAAGGCCTGCAGGGGTTTACTCCCCCACATTCTCTTGTCGAGCTTCTGCTAAAGGACTAGGAGAACTACCAAGGCAGACATCCTAGACTGGCGTCAGGACCACTCCCACAAGACTCTCCTGTTAATAGGCTCAGCACCCCCAGCCATTGTATTATACTCAGTTTTTACCATCACCTTTCCCAAGACCTGAAATGGCCTGATAAGTACTGAGACACTTTAATTCTCCAGTTTCTCCTTGCTCTTGAGTACAAAAGGGTCCTATTTCTACTCCACACCCTAAACTGGCTTTTCTCACTCATCCTAGGCTAGTAATACAGGCTGGAGGGATGAGCACCTTCACTTGCGGATTCAGCATTTTGTCACTCACCGACATCTGCTGTCCCCAGGTCAGTGGAGGCAGATTTGAGTGCTTGTCTTTTGCTCCGGTTTCCATGCTTCAATCCACTCTGTCCCTTCAACATTTCAAAGATAACTCTTACCCCAGGTAAACAACATTGACTGCCTTGCATCCTAATGTCTGTCTGAAAGATTAAGGAGCAGCACCCAACCCTGAGGATCTTGCCCAACCAGGCAGGCAGACCAGCCAGAGTGGCCACTGAGAAACAGAGTCCTTCCCCCTTGGCACTGGGGTCAGGTGGGAAGAATGAGTATGGGAGAGGGGTAAGTTCCTTCCCACTTTATTCACTCTCAATGTGCTATCTATCGCCTGGGTCCATGCCACTGGTTGAGGGGGACGGCTCAGAGATAGGGGCCTGGATGAGAAGAGGGGTTTGATGGTGGACACCCTTACCTGGTGTACCGTGTAAGCTGACTGGCCATGGAGCAAGGGAGGGCAGAGAGACAGATTGTACTGCAATGGCTGGCCCAGGAGGGAGTAGCGCCCATCACCTAGGGAGGAAGGACAGATGGTTTTCTGGAAGTTAGAACTTCATGATACAACTTTCATGAGACTTCAGGGGGCTTTGGAGATCGATGACAACAATGCATACTTTTCCTACTTTTTCTATGATAGGAGTGCCCAGGTGACTGACTGAAGAGTTGTCTCTCTTCCTAAACCCCACGGCTGTCAGCTGTATCTCAGGCAAATGAGGCTTTTAAGTTCCCTCACCCTTGAAGAAGGGCTCTGTCCACTGCAGACAAAAGACCCTAGGGGAAACCTACAGACCCTTATGAATGTCTTTCCTTCTTTCCTTCCTTTCTTCCTCCCTCCTCCCTTCCCCTTTTTTAAAAAAAGTAATCTCTATGCCCAACGTGGAGCTTGAGCTCACAACCCTGAGATCAAGAGTCATATGCTCTACCGCCTGAGCCAGCCCGGTGCCCCGAATTTCTTATATAGATCCTCCTACCCCAAATCCAGGGCTCAAGTGTCTGACTCCTGTTGAGTGGCAATACAGTGAGTGGATAAGAACACAGGCTTGGAGCCAAACCGCCTAGGTTCAAATCCTGGCTCTGTTACCGGAAATGAGAGCTTGGGTACCTTTTCTATTCATCAGTGTTGAAGGCTGAGTGAATACAAGACACGCAAAGCACTTACAGTCATGCTTTGTACATAGTAAGCACCATAAATGTTACTTTATTGTTGATAAATGCTAGATTTCAGAGCACTCTGAAGTTTTTAAACCACATTCTCATCTGGTTTTCACTATACTGCTGCAACAGCCAAGACAGGAACAGATAAAATTATTTCCATCTTATTTGGATCAATCCCATTTTACAGATTAGGAAACTGAGGTCTGGTTCCAAGCTTAAGTAACACACTACCACCTAGGTCTTCCCACTTGGGAATGGGCTGTGAAGGGCAGCAGCCAGCCCTATTCTAACCCCTTACCCTGTGCTGGACCCCCAGGCCGGGGGAACTGTGTGAGGATAGGAAGGGGACTGAGTCCTGTGCAGACATTGCTGAGACTGGTGACAGGAGAGGGTGCTGGAGACTGGGTAGGAGATGTGACGGGGCTGTTGCTCATTTGAGTGCTGGCCTGTGGGACAGAGAGGCACACATATCATACATACAGCAAATATGACCCTCTGGACATTCCTACGGCTTGGCTTAAAATTCATCTCACTCAGAAAACTTCTCTTGCAGAGCTTTGTCAAAGTCAGACTGCTCCTTCCAACAGCCCCCACAGTCCCTAATTAATGTGTATTAATAATTAATGTATTTTGTTAAAATATTTATTTTAGAGAGAGAGGGAGAGTGAGTGAGTGTGGAGTGGGGAGGAGCAGAGGGAGGAGGAGAGGGAGAGAAGTACAGAATCTCAAGTAGACTCCCTGCTGAACTCAGAGCCCCACGATCCTGAGATCATGACCTGAGCCAAAATCAAGAGTTGGATACTTAATGGACTGAGTCACGCTGGAGCCCCGATCTGTATTATTTTAATATCCATTTTTTGACACAGTGTTTTAAGTATGTGTTCCTTAGAGCTTAGGTTCCTTGCAAGCAGATGCTCTCCTCTATTCTTATGATTCCCCCCGAAGAGTACCCAGGGAAACGCAAGTAGAAGAGGCTGCTCACTCAATGGCAAAGATTATTCTCCGAGAAGAATCTGGTCTCCTCCTTGCCAAGACAATGCTGGGCTGCAGGACTCACCTGGGGGTTACTCTCAGGATTGTATAGGTCTCCAGGTTTCTGCCCACGCTGGTCCATGCTGTAATATTTACAGTGACTCCACTGGACCATGGATGGGTTCTGGGGAGGCTGGGGTCCATTAGGGACATTCAGCTGCATGACCACCACGCCTGGTCCAGAAGGTGACACTCCTGAGTCGCAGGAAGAAAGGAATTAGTTGTCAATTCAAACTGTATTTTGACCTTCCGACTAACCCTGAGTGTGAAAGCCAATAAGCAATCTACCCACTCGCCTCAGGGTCACTTAAACTGTGTCTTGTCAGGAATCTGAGATAGTTGCTGATTTAGTGTCTGACTCCCCTCTCACCAAACCAGTGAATAGTGTAAGTGAAAGAGACATGGGTCCCATGGCCTTCACCTGGTGAGGGGCACTTTGGTATGCTTGGCAGAAAACTACTTCATTCTGTCAAAGTTGGGTATTACCAAATGCCCAGGTCAGATTGCTTAAATGTCTGGGCAAGGTACAGGTCCCAGCCTGGGGCTTGGGCCAGGGCTGCAGGCATGTGTAGGCTTTTCTGGTAATGGCTGCAGATAGGTCAGTGATCTCTGGTTGCTCTGGAGAAGATGAGTGCACACAGCTACCCTAAGCCAGGCCAAGAACTGCTTAAAGTGGGAATGGCATGAAACTCTATGTCATGTTTGGGAAATGACAAATAATTCAAGGTGCTGAGGCATAGGGATTGTGTAGGGGAAGTAGGAGATGAGATATATTCATTCATTTATTCAACATTTACTGAACATTTACTATGTGCCAGTTCCTATGCTAGGTACTCGGGAGTACAACAAACAAAAGTGTCCTTGCCCTACGGGATGGACAATCTATCAGGGAGTCACAGGTTAAGTCAACAGCTGGTGTCGGAGTTTGAAGCACTTTCTAGTAAGGATCTTTATCCTGTAGGTGTTGGGAACAGAACTCCATAGAGCTAACTCAAGTGGCTGGATGGAAAACATCTGAAGGGAGGGAGGGACCAGAGGCAGGAAGACGGATTAGAAAGCCACAGAAAAAAGAAAGATGATGTTCTGAATTAGAGCTATGACAGCGGCAACTGAGTGGGAGGGTCAGACTCTCTGAAGGTTTCGGTGACAGGCTCAGATGACTGGATGTGATCCTGAGGTTTTAGCACAGACAACCATGGGTAGCCTTACCCTGTCACAGGCTGGGGGAAGCAAAGAGCTCAATGTAAAAGAACCTTAAGTCCTGAATCATCTTCATGGTGAAAAGCAAGGCAAGGGACCAGGGAGAAGCAGTCTGAATGACAGTCCCTGCTGGGAGGGACGGGGAGGAGCTCTGCTTCCTCACAAGGGACTGTCCAGCCAGAGCATCTGCTCTTGACCTCTGAGGTGAGATCTCTGATGAGGGACAGGATAAGCCCATGTGTGTGTGGCAGGAGAGAAATGGGACCGTGGTAGCCTGAAAACCTGCCGCAGTGCTACCACTGTCATGGCTCAGTGCTCTGAGGCTGCCACTGCTGCCGTCGTTACACTGCTTCCTGGGACGGAAAATGCTGCAGCCTCTGCCCTGGGCACCAGTCATGCTGAGAAGTGAGCATGATTGCTTTTCTCAGGTAGCATCGGTCAAAGGGAAGGAAAAGAAGCGGTGGGAGGCCTGAGAGAGCAGCTCAGGAGACACAGCATCTGTCGTGCCCTATTCTCCAGTCAATTTGTGGCCCCCACCCTCTGGGTTCATCTAATCAGAGAGCACAAATACTCAGAGCGACAGGCTCGCCTCTCCCCATCCTCTGCCACAGGGGACAGGGTATTCATCAGCATGGCTTGTAGAAGGGCCACCAGAAAATCGAATAGTTGTGGAGTGTCATACATTTAACAACTCCCCCCCTTACTATAGTTGCTCTGGGCATTTTCTTTCCCCATCCAAAGAGCCCCACCTGCTCCAACATCCTCTACCAACAAAATTGCAATTGACCTTATTCAAACACCTCATTGCTACCTGAGGGGGCCAACGCAAAAATAATCAAATCTACAGCTTTCTAGAAGGCAGCTCATAATCTGAGCCTAGTGCCTCAGGCCAAGAAAGGGTGGGGGGAACATGTGAGCGTGTAGGGTATAGGCATAAGCAAGGTGGTGGAAGCTCTTTCTAATACCAACATGTAGCCATAAGGAGCTATTAGAGGGCTCAAGGGGAGGGGGAAAGAGAACAAAGTCTTAATATTATTTTCTCTGATCCCGACAAAACCAAAGCTAGGGTTTCAGTCCCAGCCTTGGTCCTCCTCACACTGAGCCCTCCCCCGCTGGCCTGGAGCACTGTTCTTTCACTGAGCCGGGACACATAGCATTACACCGCCCGCCCATCAGCTGATTTTTATGCTTCTCTTCCTCAAGCCAAAAGCAGGTGGCATCCGTTAACAGCTGAACTGTCACTACTTCTTAACGGACGTGGCAATAAAAAAAAAAAAAAAAAAGAAAGAAAGAAAGAAAGAAGAGAAAGAAGAGAAAAACCACCCCACTACCTAGTGACAGCACTTCCATGTAATCAGGTTGGGGGAAGGAGCCTGGGTTGAAGCGGGAAGGGGGAGAAGGGGGTTGAATAAGGAAATCAATTTCAGCCTGAAAGCTCTGAAAGGAGAGGGGACGTGTGAATGGCTTTTTAAGTGGCATCATTAAACCTGGGCAGAAAGGTTGATTGGGCAGAGCAAACCGCATAAATACAAACAGATGACATTTATGTCTAGCAGAATTGGTTTTTGTTTAGTTTTGTTTTTTTTTCCCTAAATCACTGAGATAGAAGACTGATAAGCCTTCTTTCTTACCATGAGGAATCAAATCTATGGAAAGGAATGTCCAGAAAAATAATATCTACAGGCATCTTTTCCCATATTACAGGATACAATCCAATAGTATCTTAGTGTTTTTCTCCTTTTTTGGGGAAGGAAAGGAATATCTTCAGTGAGTGGGAGAGGAAAGTGCTTGTCTCACTTTGGAATCCCTTCAGCTACAAAATGAGCCAGTAAGTCTGTGAGAGGCTATCTCTATACCTATGTCACTCCGGCCAAGGCACTGTGTCACTGTGAGCGGGGAGTCTGTGTGTATCACTGCCATTTCATGTCTGTGTGCCTCCTCCACAGACAAGCTCCTCTGGAGAAACCTCAAGGGGCTGTGGGCCATCATTTCAGTGGGAAGAAAAGTGTTTCCTGGGGTTATAGTGCTGTCTAATATCACAGTGGAGGAATTAAGGTCTAGGCCTGGGGGTACAATGGACAACTACAAAAATGTATTAATAAGCCAGAACAGTTGTTCCAGGAACAGCCAATCTTAATCCCTGCCTTTATTTTTGGAAAAGTGACCATGTTGCTACATGGTAGAAGGGCGGGTGAATGTCCTCTGAAGGTGACATAGTAGCCCTTGTGGGCTACGCTGGCTTTCTATCTTCCCAGTAAAGGGTAAACTGGAAAGGAAGGAAGAAGCAGCACTTGTTTTTTTCTTCCAGCTCCTCTTATAATTCCATAAGCAGAGACTGAAGACTTTTAAAATCAATGATATGGTGAATATGGTCTCTTAGGTGACATGGGTGGAACAGAGGGTCCCATCACCCAGGAAAAGTACAAGGGATCAGTCAGAGGAGCCTAAGATCCATCAATCAGGGCAGTTTGGAAGAAAGGACATATAACAGAAGATTCTGAAGTAAGGGAACTAGAAGATGAAGAGGGCTTCATCCATTTCTATTGATTTGGGAAGAGCACAGATGACCTCCTTTCAATCCCAGCCCAGACCTCTAGTGCTGCCAACTTTCAGAAAAAGAGCTGTTCCAGTTTGCTTAACCCAGCATTAAGTCCGGAATAAGTGGTGAAAAATTCTTCTCACTTGCTTTGTTTTGGATTCAAAGACCTTGTATTTGAAGATGAAGAGATACAACCACAGAGACCCAATACATACACTGAGATACCACTAAGGATTCACATAAAAATGCACATACAAATATACCCATATGCACATGCCCACACTTGTTTTAACAAACAAGAGAGAAGATGTCCCGGAGTAGCAACCACCACCAGAGGGTACAGGGGTTCTTGGAGCTGGTTTCTACAATTTCCATATCCCGCTGGGAATTTCAAGGTCAAGTGCCCCTGGCAGACACTAGGAGAAACAGCTAGAGAGACCAGTAACGTAGTAAAAGGGGAAAGGCTGTTTAATTTAAAACCTCTCAGCCTGTGAGACAGCCATGTTTGGTCTGAATGAAGGTAGAAGTCATTGCTCCTTGGAAGGTAAGAACTGATCATGTCTTATGAGCAAGACTAATTCTGGAATCCACTCCACAGCATTTAATACCAGAGCACAAAAAATCTTAGGTGAGGGGCGCCTGGGTGGCTCAGTGGGTTAAAGCCTCTGCCTTCGGCTCAGGCCATGATCCCAGGGTTCTGGGATCGAGCGCCGCATCTGGCTCTCTGCTCAGCGGGGAGCCTGCTTCCCCTCCCCCACCTCTGCCTGCCTCTCTGCCTACTTGTGATCTCTGTCAAATAAATAAATAAATAAATAAAATCTTTAAAAAACAAACAAACAAACAAAAAACTCTTAGGTGAAAACCTTATTTCTAAAATGGGGAAAACTGTCAAAATACTTCCTTCTCACCAGAAGAGGGCACTCTGATATTCCCACAACGGAGGGAAATGGGGATGTCTGGAGACTGCATCAAGATACCACCTCTCAGGGCGCCTGGGTGGCTCAGTGGGTTAAAGCCTCTGCCTTCGGCTCAGGTCATGATCTCAGGGTCCTGGGATCAAGCCCCGCATTGGGCTCTCTGCGCAGCAGGGAGCCTGCTTCCTCCTCTCTCTCTGCCTACTCTCTGCCTGCTTGTGATCTCTGTTTGTCAAATAAATAAAATCTTTAAAAAAAAAAAAAAAAATACCACCTCTCAATCCCCCCCACCCCGGCCCCAGGCTGGAGAACCTCTGAAGCTGTTTTAGCTGCAGTGTAATGCTATGCCAGGGTGTGGTGAAAGGGCTACAAACAGGGTGTTGGGAGAATTCCTGGCAAAGGCAGAAAGTAAGAGGCTGCGTGGCATCAGCCTATTCACCTGACAGTGGCTGCTTCAAAGATGGTCTTTAGCTATTGACATGATAGTCATTTCTTTCCCACTGGAGGGAAAGGAAAAGAGTACAGAGACCTGTTGAAGGTGTGATATTGAGGGTGCAGGATGGGTTATGAAGAAGCAAAAGACCCAAGTTCAAGGTCTAGGATTTTGACTTCAGGCAAGTCATTTATCCTCTTCAAGTCTTTTTTTTTTAAAGATTTTTTTTTCTTAAGATTTTATTTATTTATTTATTTGACAGACAGAGACCACAAGTAAGCAGAGAAGCAGGCAGAGAGAGAGAGGAGGAAGCAGGCTCCCCGCCAAGCAGAGAGCCCGATGCGGGGCTCGATCCCAGAACCCTGGGATCACGACCTGAGCCGAAGGCAGAGGCTTTAACCCACTGAGCCACCCAGGCGCCCCTCCTCTTCAAGTCTTAAATCTCGTCTTCACAGAGGTGTGGTGAGAATTAAAATGACACAATGTATGTGAGCATATATGAAAAATTGCCAAACAAATCTAAGATATGACTTAAAAAGCATTTTATCAGCCTCCCTCACACTCCCAACAGAAAAGTAAAGCTGTCTATAGGAAGAATGAGTGCAACAGACAGAAGTAAACACTTCATGTCTCAAAGGCATGAGAGCAGTGAGTGTAATGCTGGATTCAGGGAGGAAAAAAAAATTAAGAAAGAAAGAAAACAAGAAACCCAATCAAGGATGTGGCTTCCCGGGGATGGAGACAGCGCAACCAGCCTTACCTCTCAAGAGGTCAACTTCAGCACCCTTGGAAAACACCAGTAAGGACCCTGGTCTTTCCTCATGGTGGCACGACACTGGAAACAAAGCCAATCCCTGAACTGTCTTGTCGTTCCTGGCTCTAGAGCACAATCCCTTTAGCACTGTTTACTCTGGCCGGTACCCAAGACCTCCAGTTCTTTATCCTCTTACCTGAGTACTGCTGTGGCATCTGTGGTGGACTGCAGGGAGAGGGAGACTGAGGCATCTGGTACTGCTCAGTGCCGGGAGGTTGCAGAAACCCCACAGAAGGGCTGAGGGGTAGAAAAGAGAGTAGGGTTAAAGTGGGAGAGGGAGGAGCACAGCTCCTGGCAAACAGCTGCTGCTTTCTGGGCCTCCCCTGTGGGAAGCACAGGCAGCAGCCAGTCATTCCCAGACCAATTTGCCGTGCAATTTCTAAAATCACTCATCAGTTCAAAGTTAATTATATATATTTGTACTTGATCATCTTTCAATTAGGAAGCTGCTAATCAGTGCTACAGATGGAATGTTAGTGACACATGCTCTTCCCAACAGTGTGGAAACACCAGACACATACACATGCACACGTACACACGCGCGTGCGTGCACATATACGCACACATTCTGAAAAACACAAAGTGCCAGAAACAGACATACAGTGCCAGAGCGAGATGGGTGAAAAAAAACTAAGATGTCTGACTGAGGATATTTACACAATGGCAAACAGAGTTACCTAAAGACAAAGGGGGAATTACCCCCAGTACTCATGGTAACACGGAGACATACATACAAAAAGAGAAGTGAACATACACACTGTGAGAAACACAGACATACATATAGGTAGGCCCAGACTTGACTTCTAGTTCCAGCTCTACTTCTAACTAGCTGGTTGACTTTGAGTAAGTTTCTTAATCTCCCTAGCTGGAATATTCTCATTTATAAAAGAAGGGAGAAAAATTTAAAAAGGGGGAGTGGAAATAAAATAAAAAGAATAAAAAATAAAATATTTTATTTAGTTTATATAATATATATAATAAAAATAATATAAAATAGTTATTTTATTCTAATATTAGAATAAAAAATAAAAAGAAATAAAAATATTTCTATCTATTTATTTATTTGACAGAGAGAGAGAGAGAGATCACAAGTAGGCAGAGAGGCAGGCAGAGAGAGAGGGGGAAGCAGGCTCCCCACTGAGAAGCGAGCCCAATGTGGGGCTCAGTCGCAGGACCCTGAGACCATGACCTGAGCTGAAGGCAGAGGCTCAACCCACTGAGCCACCCAGGCGCCCCTGGACTAAATATTTCTAAGGTGGCTTTGACCTCTAAAATTCTATCAGCTGTAACCTATACTATGATTGATATATATATATATATATATATATATATACACACACACACACACACACATATAAGCACACAGAAATAGACTGAGATTCATCCATGGATATAAACAGAGGTACACAGAAAAATTTACATATATATATACTCCAAATTGCCTCTTTTAATGATGAGCAGTCTCTATACCATAATTCTTAATCACACTGATTTGAAAAACTGGTAAGAAAAACAAAAAAACTGGGGACATCATAAAGCCTTTGTCTCTGAAGCAGGAATTTTTTTTTCTGCTGATCAGGTCTTATTCAAATGTCAAAACAGTAAGGAGAAAAGAAGAATGAACTCCCTCATAGTCTACCTGCTTTAGGGCACCACTGGAATCTTAACCCCTGCCCTTCTTTTCTTAGGTCACTGGAAAGTTGCAGAAGGTCTACGGGAGATGTGCCCCAACTCTCTGGGAGTCCTCACCTCGTACCGTTCTGCTGAGCGGGTGGGATCACGCTGTAGTACACTGGTACGCCCCCTGCCGGGAGGCCCCCTTGCACAGACTGGCTCGCAGGGACCAGCATGGGTTGCTGGAAAGGCGGCTGGACCACATTTTGCGAGTCATTACCCACTGGGACCTGGGTAGAGATAAGAAGAGAATGACCACTTGTACTCCTAATGAGCTCATCCAGAGAATGGCCAAGTAAGTCATCACCAGACCAGGACACTGACTTCCTTTCCTACCTACAGACATCTCCTACTCTCCTCATCTGCCTAAAGAAAATGCATACAGAGCTTTCTGCACTTCCCTCTTTTCCAAACACCTCCCTTGGGCATCTGACGTAGAGAAAGGAGCCTGACTTCCTTTAGATCCTAGTTTTCTGGGCTATATACTCATTTGCACGGCTGTATAATAAAGACCAAACAATTTAAATAAAGACCATCTTCTCAGACTCTCTGGGCTTTCTCTCAGAGGAAAAACACCTACAAAATCTAGGGGGAAAGTGAACAGTATTTTAGTGTTGGAGTTGTCACACTGGATGATATGGGAGACTGTCCTCCTTTTCCTCATCCCAAGGACTGGGTGATCTTTCCCAGTGCTGAATGCACCCACTTGGTAAGAAGGCAGTGGAGTGTACTGAACCACCAGGCCTTGCATCTGGCCCCCCATGCTGCTCCTCTGGTTGCTGAGCAGGCCCTGGTTCTGTGGCTGCTGGACCCCAATCATGCCTTGGTAAGCCGCCTGCTGCTGGTTAGGCATCATGGGCTGTAAACCTAGGGACAGGCAAGGCAGAGAAGACATTAGCATGTCTCAGCAATGTTTAGGAGGTCACACTCGCTCAATAATTTTCTTTCTCCTGTCTATTTCACCTTTTCTTTTTCTGGAGATCCTAGGTCCCTCTTGGGACTAATCATTCCTGTGCCTTTTTAAAAACAAAAACAAAAACAAAAACAAAACCAAGGAAGGTACTTCTTGTCTTTGTCCCAGTCTCTGCCCTTCCCCTATTTACTGCTCCCCTACCCCAGCAGTTCCTCTTACCAGGCTGCTGGGATGGCTGAGGCAGCTGCTGACCACGTTGGGGGCTGTAGGCCACCGGGTGAGACAGAGGTCGGTATTGCTGGTTGGAATTAGGATACTGTCCAGGGGGATAGTAAGAAACCTGGATCTATGGTGAGAGGAAACAGATATGTGAGATGCTCCCTTAAATTCAACCCCAACATCGCCACTATGCATCAGGGTCTGGGAGCCTAGGTGGCTTAGTCAGTTAAACACCTGACTCTTGATTTCAGCTCAAGTTATAATCTCAGGGTTGTGAGATCAAGCCCGAGTTGGGCTCTGCACTCAGCACAGCGCCTGCTTGAGATTCTTTCTCTTCCTCTGTCCTACTCCACCCCCTCAAATAAAAAAAATCTTTAAACCAATAAATCAATAAATGCTTCAGCGCCAATGGCGAGAAATTTGTAAATAGGGATGTTTTTGGACCTGCAATTGCAACATTATATACAAGTTTGAAACAGAACAGGAATGATTTCTGTTATACAGAAGGATGACCTTCTGGCTAGAAAGACAACACTCAAGTGCAAGGTGGGGAAATGGAAGTGGGGACAGGTATCCCCTCTGATCTACGTAAACTAGATGAAGAAAGAAAGATTATTAATAGTGGACAAACTGACTTAGTGGTTTAAGCTGGGAGCCCGTGCTGCTCACCTGTTGAGGGGGCTGCATGTAGCCCTGGGGCGGCAGAACTTGCTGAGTAGGTGGCGCATGACTAGAAGGGGAATAGCTGGACGTGGGGAGGGGCTGTCCCGTAGACGCCATAATGAAGCTAGTCTGCTGGGGGTGCTGGGAGATAAGCGGGGGCTGGAACAGAGCTGAGGATGGGTCAGCTGCTTCAGTAGAACCTTGGCGGCTAAGGCTCATTTGTCCAAAGGGGTTGCTGAGGTCCTCTGCCTGTTGAGACAGCAAGGGAGACTTGAGGACTCAAGTCATATTAAGCCTCCTGTATTTGGCTTCAACACAAAGACAGACAGAGCAACCCCCTCTCTAGGTTTCTTTATTTACACCAATTTGGGATACTCCTGTCTCCATTCCCTGGCAGGCAGTTTTAGCCCTAAGCCTCTGTCATGTGGTGTTTTTAAACTGCTGTGAGCTGGGGGTGCCTGACTGGCTCAGTCTCTTGATCTCAGAGTTGTGAGTTCAAGCCCCACACTGGGTATAGAGATATTTAAAAATAAAGTCTTAAAAAAAAAAAAAAAACTATTAGGGGTGCCTGGGTGGCTCAGTGGGTTAAAGTCTCTGCCTTCGGATCAGGTCATGATCTCAGGGTCCTGGGATAGAGCCCCGCATCAGGCTCTCTCTGCTCAGCAGGAAGCCTGCTTCCCCTTCTCTCTCTGCCTGCCTCTCTGCCTACTTGTGATCTCCCTCTCTGTCAAATAAATAAATAAAATCTTAAAAAAAAACAACAACCCTGCTATTAACTGAAGGGGTGTCTGAGGCCCAACTCCAGAATAAGACTCCTTACCACATGTGAGATGACAATGGCCACTCTTACTATGACTTTAATCAGAATTAGTCCTGGAGAGATGGGAGCAAAAACACAACTTTCTATATATATAGAAAAATAGGACAAACTAATTAGGGTTAAAAAAAGATTGTTGGGGCGCCTGGGTGGCTCGGTGGGTTAAAGCCTCTGCCTTTGGCTCAGGTCATGATCCCAGGATCCTGGGATCGAGCCCCGCATCGGGCTCTCTGCTCAGCGGGGAGCCTGCTTCCTCCTCTTTCTCTCTCTGCCTGCCTCTCAGCCTACTTGTGATCTCTGTCTGTCAAATAAATAAATAAAATCTTAAAAAAAAAAAAAAAAGATTGTTAAGTCCTTCTCCATTTCCTGTGCCTCCCTCATGTCTCTAACCATACAAAAGGCTTTATGTTGCCATAGATCCTGTTTTTATAATAAAGGACCTAGATAACACCTTGAGTGGACTAGGGCTGGCTAGGTTCATGTGGCTACCCAGCTTTGCCTATCCAGTCAAAGGACTAGTGGGCTCCCCCTCCTGCTGTTTATCTCCTTCCTCCCTCCTCTCGAGGTCATTTCCACCTCTGTTCTCTGACACTTGCCTAGAGTTCTCCTGCCCTTCAGGAACCACTTCCAATTCTCACCTCTGAAAGGAGGCCAGGCTGAGTGGCCGAGCTGGAGGGCAAGGAGACTGACAGGCTAGTCTGTAATTGCCTCCTCTCTCAGCCCTCTTCTCTAAGCAGCAAGAGGGATGGACGGTGTTCCACCTTTCACTTATATGATGATAGGTCAGAACTTGTTAGCTTCCCTGTTCCTTCTGCTTCCTGGACAGTAATTCACACACACACACTCACACAAACACGCATGCAGAGGCACATGCACACACACTCAGGCAAGCGTAAGAGCAGGACTTCTTTTGAAAAACAAACTAGTAGAAATAAATGACAATGCTTTCCTATGGTTTCACTTAATTTTCAGGAATCTGATCTTCAAGTTAGCTGTTTTGCTACCTTAGTGGACAGGGATAGATAAGAGGACTGGACTGCAGATTATTTTGAGGACCATATTCCAGAACTTTTCAGAATGGAGATGAGAGGTGGAAGGAAAGAGGAGATTCTAGTGAAAAATCAGACCATGTGATTCACACACACACACACACACACACACACACACACACAAAACCAGGGCTCTCATAATCATGATAGAAGTTAACAACTATGAAGTAAATTAGGCCTTCACAGGATTTGTAGTGAGGGTACAAACAATTAAAACAGTATGTGCTATGCACTGGAAGTGGCTATTTTTTAATATAAAATAACACAGTAAGGTAGAGGAACATTTTAAGTTTTTAACCAGTGATGCCAGAGAAATCTGCAATTGTGCTTTTATCTTCAAAAGAAATTAGAGAAAACCAGCCTATACAAGATAAACTGGGTTCTGCGAGTTCATACACGTGCAGAGAGGGGATGAGATGAAGGATGCATACAAGAGAGCGATGAGGAGCCCAGGTTAGAGCAACATCCCATTTTGTCCCCCTCCTGAAACTCAGTGCTCCTATCTGTCTTATACTTAGGCATCTTCTGATGCCTAAGGTGCTGTGATGAGGCCATGACAATGGAATATAGCTCAGCCTGTGCTAGTCCTTTGCTTAAGAAGAAACGCCTTTTAACATGGCCCTCCAGAAAGCGCAATTACTTTGTCCCAGATGGACCCCACAGACGTACCACAGATACAGGCCACACATGGACATAACATAGAGGGGAACAGAGTTTATACCATATTGTACTGCTGGGGCGGAGAGACTGGCAGAAGGACTTGGGGACAGGAGCCTGGAGAGAACTGAACAGGCTGCGGAGAGGGCTGCAGAGCCGGGACTGGCTGTGGACCAGCAGAGAGGCATGTGGAACAGGAAAGAGAAAAGGGAGGTACAGGGAGAGGTAGGGGGAGGGGAGCAGAGGCAGGGAGGGAAAGGGGAGGAACAACAAGGTTAATCATAAAAAAAATGTCATGTGAATGGCGAGGCTGCTGAGCAGACTGGAGAGCAAGCCCAGGATAGCTGACGGCTTTGGCATCTCTGGCAAACAAGCAATTTCTCCTTCAGGAGACACCCGTGGCAGGGCATGCTGCACCCCGTTAGCTGCTCAGAACTCTGCAGCTGCTGTGAGCAATCTTAGGATTCCAAACACAGCTTTTCCCAAAGCACTTTTTCTGAACACACGATTCCTGGGGAGCATGATCCTAACCCTCCTTGAATGCCCACTTGAGAAGGGATTCCTGCTTCTGTAGGAGAGGTTATCCAAGGTCTGGTTCAGCTTTCCCAGCCAAGGCCCTGATTTCACACCACAGCACTTCCCGAGGAAGTGCTCATTCACAAGGGATCGTCTCTCTCCCAAGGGCAGGGAAGGAAAAAAACAACCAGTTCATGCCTGGTTCCAGCTATTTCCTCCTGCTCTGCCATTGTTCTGTGTTCCTCCAGGCTGTGAGGGCAGTATGAAAAATGCCCCCGTAACAAAACGGGGAGAGATTTGGAATAAAATATAAATAGCTTTACTGTAGATTTTGTTCCTTCAGTCCCTTCACTAGCCTCAAGTAGGAAGATTTGTTTATGAGGAACATGATGTTTTCTAAACCAACTAATGGGAAGTTCTTTTTTCTCTCTCTTCTTCCCCTCCAGCCATTTCAATCACCTCTCCTGGAGAATCAGTTCTCCAGCCTTAGCCCCTGGTGGTAGATGGGGTGGGAGAAAGGAGAGAGGCTAGGAAGGGGTGGGGGAAATAACATTAATATACACTGTCTCATTTACATACGTATCTCATTACAGACTCATAATAATCCATAGGCAGATGTGATAACTTGTATTTGCAGTTAAGATTGTAAGGCTCAGAGGAATTTAATCACACCTCCAGGATCACACAGCTAATGCAGCAGAGGTGGATGGGAACCTAGTTTGGCCTGACATGTATTCTTTCCAGTCCACTCTATAATAGTAGGGAGCAGGTAAAGGAAGAAGTTAAATATTATTATAAAAACATTTTTTTGTTTGTATGATTCTCTACCCTCCTTTCAAATTTAGAAGTATGGGGACCCAAGGTATCAATATCATCTCTTGACATATACCTCAGGGGAGACTGTTTCACAAAGGGAACTAATAGTTCTAGAGGCAGAATCCAGGAATTAGAAGACGTCCAAAACAGAGAATGCTCCTGTTACCTGGATTAATAAAATCTAAATCATCTTGGTTAGGAAAAAGCTACCGAGAATCCACTGTGTGACCTGGGGGAGATGCTGCAGGCCCTGTGATAGACTCCCAGCTTTCCCAGCAGCCCTCATGCCTGTAAACCAGAGCCATTTCAAATATAACAGGCTGCTCAGCATGAGCTACTTGTGCTGGTAGCTTTTAAGCCCATTTTCTATTACCCTAATCCTCTTCTTTCTCTCGGGAGAGGATCTATTGTGCTTCAGGTCTTATATCCTCTGGGGGCAGAGAGGTGGCCGTAGGTATAGCTGCCTGTTTCTTCACATTTGTGAGTTCTGAGTTTAAAAAAAAAAAAAAAAAAAGGGAAGAAATGATGCTCCTCTCTTAGGCCTCTTCTGACTGAGAAAGGGTAGTGGTTAAAGTACGGGTCTCGGTGCTATTTTTAAGTTTTTCCACCACTATCCTCAGCTACAGAGCTACAGATTCTCAGAGAATCTCAAACTCCACGGCTAGGGAACTTCCAAAAAAACGTGGGGAAGCCAAAGATTGGCCCTGAGGGCTATGACTGCCACCTGCTGGTGAATTCTGGGTTAGATCACTGGCTCCTGGCTGCCTGACTAGACTCCCAGAGGGCTCTTCCTCAAGAGGTCCCGCGCCACCTTAGGTGAAGAAAGCAAAAGGTAGCCACTGGTCCTTTAATACTCGGCCTCACTGCTTGGTTTCATGTGTTCTACTGACACATGACAGGGAGGTCTGTTCTGACAGCAGAAGCCTGCCAAGAATGGAAAGTTTAGCATAGTTCAGCCAGCACTGTGCAAAGGTCTGGTGCAAATGCCTCTTGCTACAAATTTCTGAGGGAAAAGAATCTCTGTAACAAATAATGCTCCCCTGTCTCCAACCTTCAGGTCCTAACTAGTACTGGACATCCTGCAGGAGACCAGTCAGTACCCATGACTGACCCATTGGCCCTCGTGATCCAGAAGCAGGGCCAGAATAAGTAAAAGTTTGGGATTTAGGGCCAGTCACCTAGACACTCTAAAGTTCTTTCAGCCCCAAATGGTTATTCTCTAGTCTCTTTAATCTCCTCCCTCTTTTGTTGTCTGTTTCTACATATGGGTGGAAGGAGGAGGCAGATGAAGACCAAAAGAAGGAGAAAAGGGAGCAAGTCTGTATTAAAATACAAACATTTTAGAAAATGCAAATATTGCGACCTTAGACAAGAGATGCACACACCAAAATGCAGTAGGAGACAGCTAGAGAGAGGCGTGCCCACTTCCAGGTCTGAATGAAGACCCGTCAGGGAAAGCACACATATGGCACACTTCAGTATGGAGGGAGGTAAGCTGGTAAGAATGGGACTTAATGAGGTAGATGGTGGTAGAACAAGAATGGAAGTCAGGACTACAGAGAAAATGATTTAGGGACCAAGAGAAAGGCCTGGGATGATCTGCATGTGGGTTACATTAAGATACAAAGCAGGGTTCCCAGATCATCACAATATCAGAATGTGGCAGTACTGGGCCATCCTGGGCTCCTTCCAGTCTATTTTCCAGTTTTTGGGGAATGAGTGTCTGTGATTTGGTTGCTTTACCTATGGAAGAGACAGATCTGAGGCCAAGTGGGACTAAGTGAGCATGGAGGTGAGGGAGCCTGGGAGCTGAAATGAGAAACACTGTGGCAGCGGAGTGTAGACATGGGCTTCCCACTAGTAGACAGCGCCACCAGAGACACGCCAGGACACAGGATGGGCTCCACTCCTGGGCAGCTCTACTCACAGGGAGAAGAGTGAAAGTGAAGCCCTCAGTGCAGCTCTCCTCAGAGTATTAAGGAGACTTAAACCAGAACAGGAACATTCCAGTCTAGAATAGGGACTGATTCTGATGCCGATGACTTGTTTGATCTCCACGGAAACAAAACTTCACCCAAACCCTACTTGGAATCAACCTCTATCAGTCCAGCAACAGAAGGAGAAAGAGCTCTTTCATGGCAGGGGAAACAAAGACAACTTTGGGGAGTTCTGAGCCTCATAGCATATGTATGGCAGGAGTCCTGAGTATATTTCCTTTCTTCAAACCCCGACTCATAAATACGTGTTTAGGGCTCAAAAGTCCCATGAACACATTCAGTCAGTTATGGTGGGAGCTGTGATCTCTTCAAGTTCCATCTGTGGACACAGTGAACAAAATCGCCTTGCTAATTACACAGAACACAGAGGGAGATGCCGTACAGCAGAAATGTGGAATGGGGTAAAAGATCCCACTGGTAGTTCTCAGCAAGAGGAAGAAACAGGAAGCAAAAAGCTCCCAGACTGACTCTAAAAGCACTTGGGCCAAACCCCTGCCCTCACTCCTCTCTCCCCACAACTAACAAACAAGACACGGAGGAGGGAGTGGCAGGTGTCCAACAGATCTTTCCTGCCACCCACAGCACAACACACACGACTGTACTTCCAGGATCGGAGGGGAGGGGGCTCTGGCACTGAGTGGTGACTCACCTGTGAGATCATGTGATTACTCAAGGGTGGCTGTTGCTGAGGCGTGGGTGGGAGAGCAGGAAGCTGCGGCTGTGGCGGCTGCTGTGGCTGCTGCTGGGCAGTACAAGGGAGAAGGCCCCGGACAGACTGGGATGAGGTGACCGGGCTGCACACTTCTGGGGCACCTAGTGCCATACCTAAGGCAAAGAGGAGATCCACCAAGAGTTGTAAGCACCAGCTGTGATCATGCCATCCTTGGTGATGCAGGGCTCTACTCCTTCCCTGCTGCTTCTCCTCACTTCCCTTCTGTCCATTCCCCCACTGTCTTGGGAAGATCCACGCATGAGCACTGATGCATTTCAGCTGCCCTGCTGATGGGAGTCCTCATCTTAGCCCGTTTTTCCTCCCTAGGGACAGTAAATACTTTGCCCATCGATGTTGGATTTCAGAACTGAATGAAATGTGAGGCTGCCAAGGCACCTCCCCTGAGGGGGCTAGAATCTGTCCGTCATGACTAGACAGTTGAAAATATGAACGTCTGCTTCCTGGGAAGGTGCAGATTCCTGATCCCTTGATAGATCTATCTTCTCTCTGATTTCTTTTCAACTTGCTGCATTTCACAAAAGTTGCTGAGAAGGCAACCTTGCCTCTCCAAGCACTCGCCTGTTCACACACACAAGCACAACTGTCACCCAGCTATTCTCCCCATTTTCAGCCTCTCCAAGCCACGCATTCACATAAAATATTTTTACTGACTATCTGCTATGTGTTGGGCATTGTACAACGAACTGAGAGCACAAAGGTGAAGAGAACACAGTCCTTGCCCTTAAGCAGCACAGGATCTTCGGACAGGAGCTAGACACACACACAATGATTATAATCTGATAAGGATAAGGGATGCATCCGTGATATGATATGGCAGCAAGGTTGAAGAAGCAGTAATTCACTTAAAGAGGAAGTGGGAAGAGAAATGGATTTGAAGGGTGAGGAGAAGGCTTCTCAGACCAAGAGGGGATGAAGCTAATACCATATCCAACCAATGGCCAGAGGACGAGAGGAAGAAGGATATTCTGAAGTAAGGCCAAAGTAGCAAACTGGGGTCAGGAAAAAATGTTGCATTAAGTCATCTGGATTTTATTATGCAGGGGATGCAGAAACACGGGACATTTTTAAAGGGAGGACTGCCATGATTAGATCTACGTTTTGGACTTAAAAACTGGTGCTAAAAAGGGAGCAGGGAAACCAGCTTGGGGGCTAGTGTCATAATGAACAAAAAAAGACAAAGCCCAGATAAAGGCAGAGGCAGTGGAGTTAGAGAAGAGGTAACAGAGAAGGACAGCAGAGACCTAACAGAGGCAAAATCTTCACGACTACTGAGGTCTTCTGAGGACAAGACTATAGAACTTCTGGGATGAGAGGCAAGAATTCTTAGAGGTGGGAGGAGGGTGAAACAGAGACCCACTGGGTATAAAGAGCTAAACACCCCCTGCTAAGAGCACAACAGGAATAGGTGGAGAAGCTTACACAGCACGTCAGGAGAGCTGGACGGTGGCTCCAGGGCTGGCATGGAGAACACAGGCTCCTCCACAGCGGCTGAGCTCCAGAGAAGCAGCCAAAGCATGCAGTTCTGGCTTACTGGCTGCTACCAATTGATTAAAACAGCTGGACGCCAAGGGTTTCTTCTGCTCTACCACCCCTCTATAAACTCAGAATAAAACACCCCTCTATAAACACAGAATGAAAGCAGATCAGTCTCATCCTAGTATGTAACTTGAACTTGGGCTGATAGGGATGCCTAACCTTGGTCGGAAAGAAGATAAAATAATTGAATCCCAATCTTTTGTTTGTTCGTTTCCAATTAGGGAAGAAAGTCTGAAAGAAAATCAGAGAGGGGACTCAAAAGAACAATGAATCCAAGAAATCAAATTTCTCCTCATCTGACTGTGTTAGTTTTCCAGGACACTATATTGGGACAGGGGTTTTGTTAAAAGTAAACATCAGTGACATTTTGCCGAAGACAAGCAAGAAGTGATGATCATGACACTGAAGGACAGAAGCTGTAGTACCTGGCCTGGAGATCCTTCCTGCACTGCCACCTTTACTGCTCCCGATGCTGTCCCCTCGGGTGAGGATAGAGATTCCACTGAAGCTGCTGGCTTTGGTGACAGGGGGCCGCATACTCCGGACAGAGCCATCGGAGTCTGTGCTGCTCCAAGGCCGTGGCTCCAGGGATTTGAGTTCGCTGTCTGTGCTGCTTTGGCGGCTGCTTGAGGTTCGGCTCAGCCCCTCACGGTTCCCCCTGCAGAGACCACAGTGGTCAGAGCACCCCCCACCTACCACTTCGGCAGAAGAGCTAGGAGAGAGTTCATTTCTATTCTTTCAATAACAAAGAAGGGGTGAGGGCTGGGAGGAGGATGGACACTGATTTCTTGTTAGTTGGCTGGCCACCAAGACTTGCCGGGAGCAGACAGAACAAGATCCAGTACAGTAACAAAGAACATAGAGGCAAATCTGGAAGACAGTGCACTGGCAACTAATTCAATACATCAGACCAGAGGTGGACAGGAAACCATATACATGATGCTGAGATTGGCTGTAGTCTTTTCCCCTGCCCCCGCAGGGATCCCACACATACAGGAGATAGTGGGAGCAGAGGGGTATCGCCTCCTTCTAGGAGTTCTTCTTTTTTTTTTTTTTTTTCCTTCTAGGAGTTCTTAAAACAAAAGGACTCCTAGAAGTTACTATTGCTAGAAGGCAGGGGTAGCCATGACATGGATAAATATAAAAGGTCTTCCACATAACATGTGTCAAAGCCAGTGGAGGTACCACTTTTCCAGAGGTGGGAAGAGGAGTACAATAGATTAATGGGGCCCTCTGGAAAACTCAGTCTGACAGTCTGAAATTGATCCAACCTGTTTGTGGAAATTCTGCATTGGTATCTGGGAACAACTGGTTCCAGGGTCTCTAAGGGCTAAAGTGTTCAACATGATCAAGCAAATATGCCCTTGGGACCCAGGATGGCAAGGAACAGGGGGCTGGCTGTGCCTAGCTGCCGCCATATTAACAACCTATTGCCCTAGGCAAAGCACAAGGGACTTCTCTCTTATTTTGCTCTGGAAACATCAGGGTTATCCTGATGTCATCATTACTGCCTATGATTATAAACACTTGTACTTAAGATAGATGGGGTTGACCTAAAACCCGTAAGTCTTATTGAGCCCTTACAGCTTCTTAATCAACAAACAAGAACCAGGAATTTTCCTTTCATATCTTCCACAACCAACAACTACTGACCTAAAGAAACTAAATGACAACAATTACAAAGATTTTAGTATATACACTGGGATGCAGGTGAGCAAAAATCATAGTGGCTTGGGCTCCCTCCCTTTCACCACCATCCCGCCTAAAGCAAAGAGAAAACCCCATCCCAATCCCCTTAACTTCAAAGATACAAGGCTCAGAGTTATTCTAAAAAAGAAAGGTAGTTTTCCCATGAGGGTAATATTAAAGAAATACCTTTCTTTATTGGAGGATATCTGCTCCTAAGGTTACTGTAGGGAAAAATGGGCAAAATAAAAGCTAGGGTCACTATTTTAGTTTTTAGTCAAGCCAAACATGGTGGGCCAAAAAACAAACTGGCACAGCTGGTTAGGGACATGCTCATTCTTCTTGGAATCCCAAGTAGATGTATATATAACCTCAATGCTTCCCTCTTTATATAGTTAAGAGAACTGGAAAATATTTGTCTCCCTAAAACCTTATCCCTTTCTCTTGGGAATGTCAAAAGTGGAATGGGAAACAAAGAAAGAAATGTAAATCAGGGACTCTCCAGGAACAGAACCAGACCTGAAGTGAGAGCCAAGAGCTCTGACTCAATGGTCAAAGGCAAGTCTACTGAGAGAACTCAATAAAGATGTGTCTGTCGCTGGGGAAGGGGACAGAGCAGTGGCAATGGATGGAGCTGCTCATTAGGTATTAGAACCTGAATTTTACAAGACAAATCCTAATGGACTTTTATACCTAAATCAGACACAGCACTATCTATTAGGACAATTCTGCCATTTACTTTGTCTTTCTACTGGAGGTAAACAGTGAATGAGTCAACTTTAAACCAAACACCCTGGGAAGCTTGAGCCAAAGCGGCAGCGCTTCTGTACTCCACCAGTTCCCCCAAGACAGTGATGGCCAAATGTTGAAAATGTGGCTAGTCTGATGATCTAACCATAGTTAGCACACTAAACCTCCAAGAAGTAGAGAATCTAAGTTGAGTCTTGGCCAGGAAAGAGATCAATTTTCTGCACTACAACTAAACCTAATCTCTAGCCATGTCTTTCCACTTTACTAAAACATATGGCAACCAGGGAAAGCACCCAGACTCAGTTCTAAGCACTGGACTGGGGTATGTATGTGTGTTGGAGAAATGGGGGTGAGGGACAGAGATATTCACACTTTAAACTCCTATAAAGTCAAAGCTGACTTAGCTCTCACAAGTAGATTTATGCTGGTGAAAAGTTCAGTTTATTGGATCTGGGGAGTGGGTAGGCAGGCCTGTGTAAGAAGTGACAGTAAATGCCAGTAATGGCTTATTTGTCAATGGAGCAGAATCTTCCAAAGAACTGGGAAGTTGCCCTAGTTACTGCCAGTGAGGATGATGGAATGTGGTGTAACAGTATCTGTTTCACACACTTGTAAAAACAGTTCTAGAAGACCAGCTTCTCATCACTAGGATTCTGGACTAGTACCAAAACAGAAGAAGTTGCCCCCTTGAGGGTCCATGGTACCGCATTTTAGATGACCTAGATCTTTAGCCAACACTTAGTATGGAAAGCAGCAGCTTAAAAGGTCTGGGTAGAAGACGGCTGCACCTGCTCACTGGATCCTTAGAGCTGTTACCTGCACAGCTGGATGTAATCTGATGCTCCACAGCACTAGTGTGCATCACTTCTTCTTCTTTTTTTTTTTTTTAAGATTTTATTTATTTATTTGACAGACAGAGACACAAGTAGGCAGAGAGGCAGGCAGAGAGAGAAAGGGAAGCAGGCTCCCTGCTTCACAGAGCGGTGGGCATCACTTCTATCAGTGAACGCGAATTAGGGCTCTGAATGGAACACTACTCAGAGAGGAAGGGTGACGTTTATAGAGAGCTGGTCTGGTCTGGTGTACAGTGAAAGAACACCAGAGAGTCAGTCCCAGTTTTGCCACTAACAGCCATGTCAACTTGGGCTAGCTACTTAATTTCTCTGTTTTTGTTTTCTTACATGTAAACCAGTTTACCAAATCAGGATGCTGAGAGATATGAAGGATACAGAGTATACAGTATACTCTGGCAACAGGAAAGCCCTGTGCATTAGCATATGCAGAGAAGTTAGTTTAAAACTGTTTATTATAGGATTCTAGGATGATTTATGATCTTGAAGTATACAACAGAGAATAGGGAATTTTTATTTTTTTTAAAGGGGAACTCTACCTCAACTATCATGAACAAGGCAGAGTCCTTACTGCCTAAGGGCTTTCAGATGGATTTCAGGGTGGGATGGTCTAGGAGAAAGAGATCAGATATGGAAGAGGAGATAATGCCCCATTCCAAGAATGAGAAATCTTGCAACCCAAATTTCTATGTGGTTTGACTAGCTTTAGAAAGGATACGGGGGAAGGGATAACTGAGGTACCGGGAAAGAGAACTCTAACTAATTTGAGTTAATTAGTTCCTATCAAGCTTAGGATTGAAAAACCCATAAGCCCTTTGGAAAGGGTTGGACCCGAATCCTACTACTGAGTGCTCAGGCTTTCTCTTCTCCATAGTTTTCCTATTGGTAAAATGGGAAGAACGTATTTAAAATGAGTTGGTGCCAGACAGGGTCCTAATGAAGTGCTTCTCTCACTGCCTTCTGTAATCCTCTGGAGGGGGACTGAGAAAATCAAATGCAAGGGAGATTCTCATGACTGCTTTGTGGAACATGGAGACTATTAGGCCTGAAGAAGTTAACACAGCAGCTTTCACCAATGTTAACAGCAAATCATGAACAGCCATAAAAAAGATGTGCTATATGTCCATGCTAAGGCAGACAAGTCTTTTTCTGAGGCCACCTTACAGATTACATTGTCCCAAAGAGAAAACTACATAGACAGAGATGTCTGTGTTTTTATATGTGTGTGTGCACGTGCTATTCTTTCTTAAAGCTATAAAACATTCCCTATGCTGGGTCACAGATAAGCTTCTCACATCTTTCATAGATTCAGAAAAGGTAGCCAGAAGATACCCATTCTTTTACCTTAATATAAATGTATGTTGAAATCTTCCCCAAATGCCCAAATCCAGCAAACTTTTGGAAAGGAGCAGTACCTATCCCAGATACACCTATCTGGTCCCCTTCACCACCTATCCACGACTTAAAATGAAATCAGCAACAATAAAAATAAAGTCATTGTGCAGGAGCCATTTCTTTTTTAATGGGGAAAAATATCCAACGTTGCAAAAACCACAAATTGAATTATTCCACAAGCAGCCATGCATGGAGCAAACTCACTCCGCTAAAAAGATTACAGCAAAACAAAATAAAATAAAAAAAAAAAACGAAACAAAACAAAAACAAGGAGAGATATAGATCACACAGAGGTACCTAAAAATCTGCCTTCTCTTGTGAGAGCTAGAAGAAAAGGCTTCTTTGGAGAGTCTGTTGGTTAACATCAAAGAAAAGCATCATTACAGGATTATATTAACCTCACTGACAAAGCTCAATGAGAAGCAGGGAACATGCTAAGTGGTACTAACCTGATGTCATTTAGATATCCGTTCTGGCCAGTCTAGGTGAAGGGGAGAAAACGGAAAATAACTTATAAGAAAACAGCATGGCATAACCGAAAAGGGTGTCCGTGATGCTATGAATACCCGAGGTCCTCAAACCAAGCTCACCCCCCAACAGGGAGAGAGGGAGCAGGGATAGGATGACCCACACCCACACACCCAATCTGACCTCTCACCTTTAGTGGGAAAGAGCATTCAGTGTTTTTAGCCCTCCCACAGAGTGCTTAAAAAGAGACGCTGATAAACGTGGGAGTATGGAAAGGAGGAAGAGGAAAGTTTTAAGCTATTATTTCCTTTTTAGTTCTAAATTTATTCTCTCTAGAGGTAAGCTGAGCATAATAATTGGTGAGCTTGGTCCTAGAGAGTATGAACAAGGGAAAGGCAAAGGGAGACAAGAGAAAGAAATTTAGTGTTTTTGGAAGTCATCCTCCACAACTATTCTGTTTCTATCCTCCACACTGGCCAAAATGAAAGACATTCTGACCTGACCTGAGACCCAAGGAGAATAAGAAATTGGGGAAGCAGGTACTTTTCGGAGCCTAGAAAAAATGAAAGAATTAAAAGCCCGAAACATTTGGGGGATCATTTCCTGACAAAGCCACTGAGCTGAGTGAAGTGAGCACTGTGATGCACTCCCAAGCCTTAGAAAAAGGCACCAAGAGTGTCCCACTGCTGAGGAGAGTGGGCTCCACATGGAGCAGAGCCTATGTGGGGCAGCTCAGGCTCCAGAGAAGGCTGCGGTGGCAGCATTTCCATCCAAACACCCTTCTTGCCACTTCCCTTTCTTGTTGGCCTGCCTCTTCCTCCCGTCTGACCCAACCTATACAGCTCTACCCTTCACCAGCTCCCTCTGACTGGCCAGGCTCCTCTCCACATAGGAATCTCAGGATTTTGGTGGGCTTTGGCCACATTTCCGTGTCTAGACCTTCTGAGATTCCTGATGCCTCTAACACAGCAAGAGTTAGGAAGTGCTGAAATGAAAAGTGGTAAATCCACAAGAATTTAACAAAGAATAATATATTAGTAGAGGCTGGAGAGACGAGCAATCAGGAGAAAAAAGGAGAGAAGAGCGAATGTGATTTTATTACAGCTGTACAGCTGTACACAGGTATGTTCCAGTGTTGGTCCTCGTTAGCCGCAATACCTTATTAATAGTTACTTGTGCTTTCAGTGTCCAGGGCTGTGCTAATAATGGTTGGCATGGTGGGACAGTCATTTACCATGTGTCAGTGAAGCAGAGCAGCCATCACAGATGGCTATGCCAGGATGACACTGGTACTTCCTAATCTAAAGATCCCAGAGTAGAGCAAGCTATGGCGAGGTGGTTTACTTTAGGGGTCAAGGACATGGTCTCTGGAGCCAGACTGCTTTGCTTGAGTTCATATAACAACCCTTTCACTAACTAGAGGTGTGATCTAAGATGACTTAACCTTTCTATGCCTCAGTCCCTCATTTATAAAATGAGGAAAACAATGCAACCTACCTCATAGACCTAGTGTGAGGATTAAATAAATTTATGCAAAATTCTAAGAATAGTGTCTGAAAGATAGTAAGCAGTATGTAAATCTTTGTTATTATCCACCAACCTGCTCTATCTCAAGGTCATTGCCGGCCACAGCCATGTATAAGTGACCACTCTCCTCTCATTCCATGCAAATGGTTTGCAGGTAAAGGTAAAGAACCCTCTTTGGGCTATGGTTGGATAATTTGGAGGATGGACTTTTTCTTTTCTTTTCTTTTTCTGACTCAGAATTGAAGTCTATATAACAGAAGGTAAGACGATTCCTTTTCCTTGGACTTTGGGCCAGATTTGTTGTGTATCTGTCCCCATGAGGATCCTTGGAACATTTGGGTCTCCTGAGACAACAGAACAAGTTCATAGAGGAGTTCAATTTTCTTGAAGTCAGAGATAATATTTCTCTGAGCTAGGTGATGATGGAAAGATAAATGTATTTTTTGTCTTGCTGATGGAGGGGAGAGTGGGGAAATGAGAGGAGAGTAGTGTTCATCAAAGTATATTGATTAGAACTGGCCATCTTTTGACTACAAAGGGAGGTTGGCTCTTTCTACTTTGTTTGCTAATTTGACTGTAAGATAGTGCTGTTATCCAGATCCCCTACGTTTTTCTGAAGATCTGTTCCTCTCTTGCTTATCTACAGCCTTTCCTGAATTTCTTAAATACTTCTCTTTAGTCTTATAGGCAAAGGCCACCAAATATAGGGGTACCAAGTATATTTAATATGGCCCACAATTCTTAAGAATAAAGTTGCCTAAAATGATCATGTTGCCTTTTGGCCCATAAGTCCATCCTACTCTAAGAAGCGAGGTAGGAAATATAGGAAGAAAGAGACTTCCTATTCAGATAGAGACTGGAGGGAATAGTAAGTGGTACCCTCTGTGCATGTGGAATGTGGATCTCAGAGAATGGATGGCAGACCTGTGCTCTAACAACCACCAACATATCCTAAAAACGAGGCTGGCCAAACAAGATGGATGTATATAGGCTGTGTGGACACTAAGTCTTCCACCTAGAAGCAAAGATGCCTAAAATGAATAGTGGAAGTGAAAGAGGGTAAGTGGGAAAAGGGACTGACAGGCAAGAGTCAGGGCCCTTCCATAAGCCCTGCTAAAACCATTTCTATTTTCAGTCTAATCATATCTACCAAATTCAGCCATTCCATTTGTGCTCTTTGTATGCCATACAGCAAAATGTATTAAAATAATACATATAAAAATCTGCAGTTTCCCAGTAAGCCACATTTAATATGAGAGACAAATTGGGGCTGGCTGATGTTGGTTAAAAAAAAAGACAACAACAAAACATTTATGGAGGGTTCATTCCAATCACAGTTCCAAAGATTAAGAGCTAAAAGCTATGGGCTGACAACTCTCAGAAGCTACACTTACCTCTCGGGCAAATATTCTCTCTCGGACCCTTTGATATTCCTCCTCTCTCTCTTCTATTGACTTGCTCCTCCTTCCATCCTGCAATGGAACTCTGATCTAGATCGATGAGCAGAATTAAGCTAGTTAAGTTCTCCTCGTACTGCAAGCTCACTGCACACCAGCAAGGAAGAGAAACCGGGAGAGTTTATAGTTGCCATCAAAAAAATGGAAAAAAAAATAAAATAAAATTTCCAGTGTCGGACAGGTTTCACTGGGTACATCTGACCATGCAGTTTGGGAGATCAGGTTTTCTGGATGATTGGAACCTCTTCATTTCCCCACCCCCACCCAGAGTGACAAGAACAACAACTATTTATAAGGATTGGGTTACTTCCTTATAGTAGTCAGATCCTAAGGATCAAGAGAAAAGCCCAGGGAATAAACAACATTGCTTTGGAGGGAAAGAAAGGGATAGGAGGAAACTAGAGAGGGAGAAGAAACAAGTATTTAGCAGAGCTGAATATAGAGAAGAGTTTTACAGAACTAGCACCTGATATTATCCCTTCTTTACTCACTAATGCCATGGCCTGAAGACCCAAGTCACACTCAGCTCAGCGAAGAGGGCCCTGGGAATGAAATCGAAGTGAAGCTAACCTAAAAGCTTAAGCACTTTTTCTCATCTTAACTACAGCCACTGGAGGGAGGGAAAGAGATAGAAACTACAGAAATAGAAAAAAGAACATAGCAACACAAAGAGAAGAGAAAGAAAAGGAGAACAGAACAGAAAGAAGGATGGACAGGGAAAGGAAGAGACAAATAAGGTATGGTGGAAGGAGGAGAGAGAGAGAGAGTGACAGAAAGGGAAAAGAAGGAAATGCAGGATAGAGAGCCTTAAATTCTCTGAAAAATATAGAGAGGTGAAGAGGGAGGGCTGGGCAAATCACCACCTCTGGCTAGCCTACCGCCCAGTTCTCCATCATTGTTTTTCTCTCCTGGCCTGTGAGTTGTGGGCACTGTCCCACGTAGGGTGTACACAGTGTCCTTTTCCATACTGCTCTTGAAGGCAAGATGCTCTGAGGGAGACAACCCATCAAATGAATGTCATCAGGTATGAAAGATTCTGACCTTCAATCCAGAGGCTCTGAAAGCTTCAGATGAAGCAACCAAGGAGGCTACTACTCTAGGCTGATCTTCCTGATCGTCACCAGAGGTAGGCATAACTTCAGGAGTATCAACTTTTGACTAGATTTAATTCTCACTAGCCTTAAGAACCTAAATCCTACTAAACTGTCCATTTATAAATCCTACTCCAAGAAGATGTAGGACCTCAGGGGCCCCTAACACTGGTGAACCAGCGACAGAGTAGAAAGAGCATAATATGCTTTGAGGTCCCGGCTAGAATCTCAGCTCTCCATTCTGTGTAAAGTTATTTCAGGCAAGTAACTTAACACCTCTTAGCCTCAGCTTTCTTATATTTAAAGTGGAGCTAATAACCCCACCTACACTGGGTTGTAGAGACAATTCAAAGAGATAATGTACATAATGCGCTTAGAACAGAGTCTAGTTCAGGGAAAACACTCAAAAGAAGTAACAATCATTGTATTTATTATTAATATCATAGACAGAAAATGCATAAAGGCTCCCCTACTATGGATCAAGCCTGAAGCTGAGAGATGGAAAGTTCATAATATGGACAGATTCCACTTTGCCCCAATGTGTCACTAGGCCTGAATAATTCCTGATCCACAGAAAAAGGGTTTTGGGAAAATGGAGAGAAGGGCATCAGGATGGAAAGGCTCTTTCTTGTTTTTTAAAATTTGTCTTTTTGTATGTTTCATTCTTTTCAATCAGACCCAGTGTGTTTGTCCACAAAAGATAATGGCATTTTTCTCAAAAGGACTCCCTCAAATACTCAAGTAGCAAGCAGGAAAAGTCCTGGTCTCAAGACCATACAATATCCCAAGAAAACTAATTTTGACTCTAGAGGTAAGATATTATTACAGTTATCATTAATTAGCAAGACTAATATTGGCTCTACTCAACCACGTTCTTCAAACCTTAATCCTGGTTCTCCACCTAACCTCCTTCGGAGGTCAAGCAGAAGCAGGTTGGATCTAAACCCTGTACGTGGCTGAGAAAACTAATCCCCAAACGAAAACTTACTATCTGAAGGGCAGGCTAGAAGTCAGGGCAACAGCCAGGCCCATGAGTGAAGGAATGGGACAGACTGTTCACTTCTTATTCCCACAGGAACGGATTAAAAAGGGGATACTGCCTGAGACTCCCAGCATCAAATGTCAAATTAACTCACTCACCTTGGTGGAAGGAGTTGGGAAAAGAATAAGGAGTTTGCAGAAAGGGATCAGAAACATCTTTATAGGTGGGTATATTACATCACAACTTTGCCAGTCCAAGGCTAGCCCTGAGCTAGGATAAGACAGAAGTGGGATAAAGTAGCTTTTGGTGGTTCCCAAAGAAATTCCTAACTATTCAAGAAAAAAAGAATGAAGCCATCAGCTGAATCAAGGCTGAAGCAGGGAGGGACCTTGATTTGTCCCAAAATGACATAGAGTTAGAAGTTAGTGGCAGAACCAGGGAGTTCTAGGCCAAATGAGAAAACCCAGCAAAACTCAGCACCATGTCTCTCTGGGGCTATAGGGCGGCATTCAGCTCAACAAGTGTAGTCAGTCCTCAACATTAAGCCAAAGCCAACTCAGCATAACTCAATACATTTTTCCATACTAAGATGTTTTAGAGTTTTATTCCACAAAAATTCTTCTCCCCTCCCAGTTTCTCTTACTGCAATCTCTCTGTACAGGCCCAACCCCTTTCCATTCTTCACCTGGTTATCATCTCGGTCCATACTGGCATCATCTCTCTTGAGAATGAATCTCTGTTGAAATTCTGTATTCTTCTCATCCTTTATGTGTTCTGAGAATCTCTGTTCGGGGCTGGGATTGGGGGAGAATGTAGAAGGAAGTAAGGTAAGAGATGCTTTTGTTAGGAAGCAGGCCTCATAATAAAGCATTCTTATATCCTGCAGTCCCCTGAGGAAGTTTCTGGAGTCAGGCATCCAAAACGTCACAATGAAATCTTCAAGGTCTATTCTTTATATATATAAATAAGTTGTCTTCTCCTAAAGTTATACCTGTACCATCAGTAAAGGTGAAGAGAGGCCAGGCACCAGTCTTCACAAAACATCACTGCCTCCGGAATCTATCTCCAAGTCCTCACAAAGCATAGGAATCGATCACGTAACTTCCATACTATCTCCTCCCCAGAAAGGAATATATTGGTCCTACACCTTCCTCTTCCCCCCACAGACTATTCCAGGGAAGTCTCCCAATCTGTGGTTTCTTCCCTTACATTCTTGTGTTACTGGTTTTGTTGATGATGACAGCTTTTCCAGTTTGATCAACATTGTGGTCCATCCCAAAATAGGCAGCTACCCGGTGTAATAGCATCCGGTGATATGAGGTCATCTGAGGGAACTTCTTGAACTGGTTACTGAAGGGAAACCAGGGGAAAAAGTGAAATAAGGATAAACAACAGCAGTAATAGCCAACTGTAACTTTTTTTTATGTCTAAAGTAGAGAATTTCTTAGGAGAAACAGACATGTTATAAGGAAGATAGATCCTTACTCAAATGAGAACCAAAAAGGTTCTCTCAGCTTCTTTATCTATAGCATTTTGTATATTCCTTTGATCCACTACCCTCATTTAAGATTATTCCTTAAGCTCCAGGTCTCCTCTACCTGGATGATATTCTACAAGGGAAAAAGGGAGAAGTTTAAGAATAACTAAATATGGGACAAAGGTAGCTGCTGAAAAGATATCAATTCTTTTCAACTGAAGTCTGTGCAATAACTTAAAAACCTCACTTGGTCACATGTACTTTTTAATACATTCTGATTATTTCTCCTCAACTCCTTTTGGTTCCCAGTGAGTAATTACTTCAAAATTCAAACTGTAAGGGAAAGATTTAAGAGGAATCTCCTAAAATTGTACCTGAATTTCTTTTCAGTGCCCCCTCCCACCTCTAAATGTGTATTTCATTCAAATAACTTACTTGTTGTCATTAATAAATTCCAGAATCTCCTGTTCTAATTTTAGCAGCATCATTCTGTCCCTGTTTAAAAAAGATTAAAACAAAACAAAACAAAAAGCAGCCCTCCCATAGACATTAAAAGCATTGAAACCTGCACCCTACAGAAGCTGAAGGGAGGGACAGATCCAAACCCCAACAGTGGACAAAAACACAGAGGCTGCTGAGCCTCACTGGCCTGTCTTACATTACTTTAAAAAGAGAAAAACAATCAAGTATACATTTGCAGATCCTCCTAATCAGTACTTTGTTTTCCTTATCAGAAACCTCTCTGTTGGCAGCCATATTCATTTAAACACATACTTTATACTTAAAATAAATCTAATCAGTAGTCTACATTCCATCTTGTTATTTAAACAATTTTAAAACAATTATGATTTAGCATATGTATGTATCAATTATTTTTCCTTCTGTGCTTTTATATGGTTCTCCCAAGACTTCACATTTGTCTTTGCATTCTCCTTCCACAGATTTTTCTCAGCTCTTCTGAAAGAAGACACCTCAACACAAGGGTATTCTGAATCCCTCACGGAATATAAAACTACATTAGAGGGAAAGGTGGTGGAGGGTCGGAAGCATAGATCTGACTAATGGAAAAATCCTGAAAAGCTACTTGTCCTTTTCGGTATCCTGCTGGACCCTACTGTCCCCCTTCCATCAAATAATGTTTTTACCTTGGGTTCTTTTTCAGTGTATTTACAAGAAATTCATGTAGGTCTATTCCAGTGGAGTCTGTATATTCTTGGCTGGAGTCTAGAACCATCACAATAAAAGAAATTTAAAATAAATGAAACTGCCTTGCGTGAAATCTAATCCCAAGCAGAAGCCCACAACCCAATCAGGAGGGATCACAGCAAAGTAAAATAAAACTTTAGGGGTTTTAGCTTAAAAACCAGAATGACGCTTGATTTGCCAGGTCCCTTCCCCCTGCCAGATTCCCCATGACAATGATGGAAGGTAGAATCTGGGTCATAGTGCTGCATCAGTATTACACTGATACGCTACCTTACCATAATTAAGTATTTGCTGAATGTCCCAACCAAAACAAAGCAGATTTTATTCAAGTTAAGGAAAATAAATTCCAGGTAAGAGCAATCAGAGCTGAATTTTCCAGAATCTCAGCAAACAGGTTCAAATATTGATTATTTACAATTTATTTATAAAATCTTAATCCCAAGGTTGCCTTTTTCCTGTCAACTATAATTTTTATGGACCAGGTCTTTTTGCTACCAGCTCAAGAGTTTAAAACCAAAAAGAGCTTAATAATTAGTGCAAATCTGATTTTTAAAAAATCACTCCAGGCATCCTAAAACCAAAATATAAATGATATATGGAGGATCTGCTACTAGTGGTGATTCATGTCACTACTTATTCCAGAGGAGAAATAAAATCAGAATTAACTATAATGTCCTCTTATAGGTAGTGCCAGTGTTAACGGAGTAGCTTTCTGCAGCAAGTGAGCCCCTAAGGCAGGGTTAGCTAAAGCAGCAAGGAAAGTAACCTAGTTAGGAAACCCCCCCACCGCCCCAAGCAACCATGAAGTCAACAGAACACTAGGAACTGCTGAGCCAGTAAGGTTAGTGGGTGTCAGGCTCCAAGATGGAAGGAAAGGGCACCGCAAAGCCAGATCCTAGGACATGAGGGGTGGCAAGAATTCTCACCCCTAGAAAGCATCTTCCTTGGGACCTTTTCTTTGTTTTTGTCCTTGTCTTCCTTTTCAGAGACATCCTTCGTGGATTTTTCTTCCTCCTTGTCAGAGGGGCAGCTGATGTGCAACTGAATTATATCCTTGATTAAGGGGAAAGAGGAATACAATCAAAGGAGAAAAAGGATTTTAATTCTCCCACAGGACTTTACTCTCCCTTGAACTCTCAAAGAAGGGAAATCTTGGGTGGCAGCATTCTCTTACAGAAGAGAGTATTTTGTTAATTCAATTGTTTAAGCTTTGGTTCTACCAAAAGGGTAGAAGGCCAAGCCTTTTCTGCCAACAATCACAACCACCAAATGGAGAGCTCAAGTTACACTGGCTGTTCTTGGCACAGGAACTAGATGGAAATGGGTCTAACTGCCAGAGGGAAAGTGTGGGTGGGAAAACAAGAGGCAGCCCTGGGATCTCCTTGTCTGCCTCATCCTGGGTGGTCCAGGTGTGAAGACCAGTACTTCATGCTTGCAGCCATGCCCTGCTTTACAGCAACCACTTGCTTTGAAGTTCCTTCTACCCTGATTTCCAAGCCTACTGCTGAAGCTGTGGTTGTTACGCTACAGTTTACCAAACAACTGCCAATCTCAAAAGTTACACTACTCTGATAAAGGACCTACCTGGGTTTCTAGTGGTCCATCAGCAAATGGGGCAGAGGACTCCTCACACACTGCCAGGCTGCGCACCAACTTCAGCTTGGAATTAGACTGAAAAAAGCCCAAATATATATATATGGACATTCAGAAAGCTGCTTTTCGCTGAATGAAGGGTATCCTCTTTGGCTTTGTTAGTTGCTGCTTCCATTAAGTAGGGTTTTTGTGCTGTTCTTTTTTTGCCCAAAGAAGACTTACTCACCAGTTCCTGATTTACTTCAAAGATAATTTCCCTACTTCCATTAATAAACATATAAAAACAAAATGGCTACTTTGAACAGATGATAGGAAAAGCACTTCACTTAGCTCTCACTCCTTTCTTTAGCCCATGCTCCAATTTCAGACTCAGAAGTTTACTGAAAATACACAGTTGAAGAGCTTAGTAGACACTGGATTTAAGAGCCAGAAGTCCCTGCTTCAACTCCTGCTTTTGCGCTTATGAGCTATGAGAGACCCTGAGCAAATTACTTGGCCTCTCTAGGTCTCTGTTTTTCCTCAATAAAACAGGGATAAAAACACTTAATGATGACTTGTGAGAATCAGGTGACATAAAGTACATAAACAAACATATCATAAATAGTGCCTAGAGCACAGCAGACGATAAATGCTAAATGACTCTAAACCCGAGGCGGCAAGAGTATGGAAAGGAGCGTCTAAGAAAAGAGTAAAGAGAAAGAAAACTTCCCAACATTTGGGATTTAATGTGATTAAGAAGCTAATAGTAAAAGTAAACCAAGCTAATTAAGAATCACTGAGGATTAGGCCATGTCAGGCAAGACACAGAGTTCGTTTATCTGATGTCGTGTTCTCCTTCAAACCCGGGCTACCTACTGGCTGAGCCACTCCCAAATTCTGCCATTGTCTTTTGCGGGGGAATAGGTATATACACTTAATAATTACTCTGGTGATAACTATTCTCACTGCAAGAAAGGTTTAATATTTTACTGTTCCCCCAACTAAAATTAAAAAACCATCACACACTAACACATATAGTCCTCTCTGATAACACCGCTTAAAATAATCCATGATGTGCTAATTTTATCATAAAATGATTAAAAACAAAATCCTCCTCCTCCTTCCTGCCCCAACTTAAAAAGTAACCCCACCACCACCAAAAAAGGCTTTATTTTTAGGATGTCCAAAAGTGTTGAGTCATTTCTACTAATGGGGCAGGATTTATAAAGGATAAATTCCTAAAGGATAAATGGGAAAAAAATGTTGGAGGAAAAGATAACATTCACATAGTACTCCTAGAGAAACCAAAAGTGAACAGAAAAACTAGCTTTACAGCAGAACCAGTACCAATTTGCTCAGGCTTTGTGAGAGGCTCTGGCTGGGTATCAGAAACAGACTGTGACTGAACTAGAGATAACAGAGAAAAATACAGCCAAACCTTCTAACATGAAATGTGTGCGTGTACGTATATTCACAATTAGAGTATAAAGTCCAGGCAGAAAAACTTTGCTTGCATATAATCTAAATAAATTAGATACTAGTGATAAGTGCATCTGTGAAATGTATTACTAATAACAGTAGAAAAGAAACTACAGTAGTCCCCACTTATCCCCTGGGATACTTTCCCAGACCCCCAGTGGGGTCCTGAAACTATGGATAGTACCAAATGCTACATATACTATGTTTTTTCCTAGACATACATACCTAAGATAAAGTTTAATTTATAAGTTAGGCACAGTAAGAGATTAACAACAGTAACGACAACAATAAAATAGAACAATTAAAATACTGTAAAAAACTTATATAAATGTGGCCCTTCTCTCTCTTTTTCAAAATATCTTACTGCACTGTACTCACTTTTCTTCTTGGGATGATGTGAGATGATAAAATGCCCATGGGATGAGGTGAAGCAAGGTGAACGATGCGGGCACTGTGACAGAGCATTAGGCTACTACTGACCTGACAATATGTCAAAAGGAGGATCATCTGCTCCTGGACTGTAGTTGACCAGAAGTAAGTGAAACCATGGAAAGCAAAACCTCAGATAAGGGTGGGGGGACTACTGTATACAGAAAGGGCTCTCACCTTGGCTCTTTTCCTGGCATGACCATGGTTGGATGTCCGCCTCTGTTAGAAGGGGATTAGAAAATATTAAAGGTATAGAAAATCAACATTTAGGTTAAAAACAATACAAGTTTACAAAGAGAAAGCACTAACTGTAAAACCATTACAATAGCTAAACAATAATGAGACCCACCTGGTGTGGCTGTCTCCCCTTTGCTACAACTCTAGTAACTGTGACACAGAAAGGACCACAGGCCACTTACCATGAAGAAAATGAACAGGAAGACACAGACTGGTTGGCCTACTTCACAGGTTAATAAAAATTACTTTTGAATAAACCACGGAATCATCTGATTAGACAGCTTCTGGAAATGTCACTACCATAGCATGACAGAGTGTTTTTACCCAAGCATGATCACAGGAGCTTATTTAACCCAAAATGGACATGCAATATGGCCCTTAATCATCACTTATAATAACATCTTTACAGGATAACATGTTCAGAGTTCTAACTTGAGAGACCCAAAGCACCTGTCCCAATGGCTGCTGAAATGGAATGAAGACTCTTCTTGCCAACTGTCTCCTTTCCTGAAGATAAGAATTCTCCTAGTTCTAAGCTCCTGGTAGTAGCTCTTATAGCCTGTCTGGGACAGGATAAAAATAAGGGAGCATGGAAGATATGGACAAGACTTCCAGAACAAAGGGAGGGTAAAAAAAGTGGGTAAGGAGCAGAATAGAAGCTGAAGAAGATGAAAAATGAAGGCCTATGGCAGGATGAGGTAAGAAATGACTAATTCACTGATAGGGTTTCTGAACAGCTAAGAAGTCAAAATGGGGGCTTTGGAGAAGAGGTGGAGGTAGGATTTTGTATGGGAGGAAGCACCTGGGGATTCTCAGATGTCTGGAATGGAACTCACTGCCCATTGGGGTGTGGGGAGAACTGAGGTTGGTGGGTGGGGAAGGGAAAACAAGACAGAGGCAGAATACCAGCATGGTCCTGGGTAGATGAGGATTTCTCTTTCCTTTGTCCTCTTCGCTAGTTACCAAACACTGCCACAATGCAAAATGGAGAACCAGGAAGGTGGATGGAAAGAGTAAGAAATGACGATGGAACTGGTCAATGTAAGAGATGTTACAGTAAGGAAAAGCCATAGTGTGGGAATATGAAACAGTATTTCACTGTTTTTTCAAAAAGGCAGTAACACACACAGAACACAAACATTCAGGAGGTGTAACGAGGGTATACAAAACAGTAAGTCTCCTTTCATATCTGTCCCCCAGCTACCTGGTTCTCTCCTAGAGGATCAAGTAGTACTGCCTTTCTTATAATCTTTCTATAGATCATTTATGAATATATATATAAGCTTACTGTACATATGTACACATAGGTTTTTCTTTTCTTTTTTTATAAAACCAAACAGATGGGGGTGCCTGGGTGGCTCAGTCTGTTAAGCATCTGCCTTGGGCTCAGGTCGTGATCTGTGTCCTGGGATTGAGCCCCAAGTCCGGCTCCCTGCTCAGCGGAAAGTCTGCTCCTCCCCCCTGCTCATGCACTTTCTCTCTCAAATAAAGAAAGAAATCTTAAAACAACAACAAAAACAACAGGGGCACCTGGGTGGCTCAGTGGGTTAAGCCTCTGCCTTTGGCTCAAGTCATGGTCCCAGGGTCCTGGGATCGAGCCCCGCATCGGGCTCTCTGCTCAGTGGGGAGCCTGCTTCTCTCTTTCTCTGCCTGCCTCTCTGCCTACTTGTGATCTATCAAATAAATAAATAAAATCTTAAAAAAAAACACAAAAAAACCCAAAACAACAACAAATAGATGTATATTTTACACACCTTGCCTTTAAACTTTTTTTTCCACAGATATTATTCTACAGAAGATCTACCATTTTTCTCAGTGTCTAATATGGTATTCTACTTGGGGCTGTACTATAAATTATTTTATCTGTCCCTTAAACAGCATCATTTAGGATGTTTCTGATCTTTTATTAGTATAAACAATAGTTCAATGACCAAATCAAGTGTATCTACAAATACTGTTTATCTGTAGCCCATTTTAAAATTTTTAAAATTTAATTTTTAATAAAATTATTGCCAAATTGACCTTCAAAGAGGTTATACCAATTTATAGCCCTACAAGCAATTTATGAATCTGCTTATTTACCAGAATGGATAGTTTTCGTGTAATAGTCAAAGACATATTGAAACTCTAATATGTACCAGGCACCATGCTAATTACTGGAGGATACAGAGATAAAAACCACAAACCTTGTCCAAAAGGAACTCATAATCCTGTTGGAGAAGACAGACAAATAGACAATTACAATACAGTATGTTAAATGCATTACAGAAGTAGTCACATAGTGCTTGCTATAGGAGCACACAGCACAAGTGTCTAACCCAGACCTAGCAACTCACAGATTCATACATTCACAGATATTGAGTGTCTGCAAAGAACTGTGTCAGGCTTTTGAGAAACAACAGTGAGCCCAAACTGACCTAATCCTGGACCTCACTGAGCTTATAGTTCTGTAGAGATGGAGACAGACATTATTCTAAGAATTATACAGGGTAGACCTGCAATGGGTGAGTAAGGCTGTCAAGGAAGGCTTACTAGAGAAAGACACATCTGAATTGAGTTTTGAGTTTCAGGCAGATGTTGGCAAGAGAGGTTCAGGGGTTGGGGGAAGCCAAGGAAAGAATACCAAGGAAGGCACTCTAGGCAGAGAAAGCATGTACAAAAGCATGCTTTCTCTACACTTTCCAGCTCTTGTAACAAGGCCCAAGGAATCAGACAATGCTGAAGCACAGGATGCCAGAGGCAGGTGGCTGTCAGGCAAGGGATTAGGTCACAATATGTCTGCTGATAAATCTGGTCTTAGCCTAGGACAATGAGACATACAGAAAGGTTGAAGAGAATGAACAAAATCAGATCTTTATTTCATGGTGATCTTTCTAAAGCAGTACGGTAGAGGAATCCAAAAGGATCACAAGTTTAAAGGCAGAAAGCCCAGTTAGGAGGTCATTCCCAGTTGTTATGGGTTAGTTGAAGGACCCCCCTAAGTTCGGTAGGTCAGGGTTAATTTGCCCATTCTAAACTGAATCTCAGAACCTGCCTTTTATAGCACTGTTTCCATGTGAAAGATGTTCTGAGTTCCAACTGCTGATTCTAAGAATATGTCTCACATAGTATAAGCAAGGAAACTCCCCTTTTTGCAAACTTTCCAGCTCCAAATCATAACAGGCACTCCCTTGATAGCATCAGTAAGATCCCTGGGGAGACTTCCAGGGTATGAGTTGAGGTGGGGGGAAGGTAAGATAAAGAGCAGAATTTTTAGTGTTGTTGAAGGGGCACATGACCTGCTGGGAAATGGTAGAGGGGAGAGGGCTTCTGAAGGGGGGCACAAAACTGAAGACTTGGTAGAACGAGCAGGAGCTCCAGTAGATGGCAGCAGCAGCTCCCCCTGTTCTAGCAGCTGCAAAAAGTCAGTCCCCTTCCAACTTCCCACATGACCTATTTGTATATCCAGATGAAGACACTCCTGAATTGAGTGTCCATAAGGTATATAACACTTATACATATCCTTTCTTTTCTGCTTATCTTCAAGGGGTACACACAACAGGAGTTCAGAACACCACTTCAAATAGTCTCCTGAGAATAACTTGGACCCAAAAGTTGATCTAATTATCATCTTCCATATAACATGACAGCATATAATTAAACATTCATCACTTATCTGTCTTGAGGACTTAAAATTCATTATTGGTATCAGTGGAGGCTGGAAGTATAGCTGGAACAGTGGCAGACTGTCTCTACAAACTCTGGAAGGATGGGCGGGGAATGACAACTTACACGCAAAGGATAATGGAAAGAAAAGCAACTAGTACAGAGATCTGGCAAACTGTAAGAGGAAAGACAGTAGAAAAGCAAGCAGCCAGAGAACAAAATATTTCAGGGAGCTATCTGATTTTAATTTGTCCCTTTGTTGTTGTTGTTTTAGTCTTTCAAGAAAAAAAGGCCTAAATGAATTGGGTTGTCAAGAGAAATGACGCTTCAACTTTTGAAACCTTCCAAAATGTTGCCACCACTGCTTTTTAAACTAACTTACTACCATTAGTCTATCTCTTAAGCACGTGAGAACGACCAGTCCAACCCTGGGCATGAAAGAAATGATTTACATAATTGGGTCTGGGTAACGGAGGAGACTAGCAATGACCACAGAGAAGAGAAGGATCAGAACAGGTAAACCAGAGGAGGCTCAGAGCATGCACTGCTTGGGTACCAAACAGGAGCCCTGGAGGAAGCTTGGCTGGCTACCTACTGCCATTACATCTGCACTGCACTATGAATTTGGATGGAAAGCAACATGGCAACCAAAGAGTGAAATTCTTCTCACTCATTTACCAAGTGGCAAGTTCACAGGTTATTTCTGATCCGGAAAATCCTGACTGCTTTAATACAACCAGGATATGAATTTAATACTGTGTCTAAAGCCAGGCAGCTGTAGTTTTAAGAATTTATTATATGAACCATATTATGACTCGTTAAATATGTGTTTGTATACAGTTCATTTTTTTTTTTGATAGTTAAAAAATATCAAATGTAGCAAGAACCCAGTGTAATGCAGGTCCAAATGGGTTAGGAAATTACTCTTGTCTTCTCTAGACTTCACTGGGGACTCTATGACAAAAAGGGAAGGAGACAGTTCTTGAAAGCTGAAAATTGGATTTTTAGGGAGAATCAAGTGACTAGCTTCTTACAGATTCCCAATGCCAATTACGATGACATTTCTACTGAGGCATAATAAGTGTGCATATGATGCACTTCTAATCCTTACCTGTGTCTCTGGACGCAAACCAGTATCTTCACTCTCTTTCTCAGTTTCTTCCTTACTTGGAGTCTTAGATATAAACTTGTTTTTGCTTACAGATTCTTCCACCAGTTTTTTTTCTGATTCTTTCATTATTTCCAGGGTCTCTTGAATAGTGTTACTGTTAGACATCTTCTTCAATATAATACAGTGGGCTCTATGGACTCCTAAAGAAATGTCAAATGCATTAAACAGGAGGCATTTATCCATACTTCACATACACACAAGACTTGCACTTCACATACTAGTCTGCAGCAGCCACCCTGTAACCCACAAAGGGTCCTTGGATAAATGGTGACCCAGGATTGATTGACTGACTGCTTTCTTTCTTTCTTTTTTTTTTTTTTTTAAAGATTTTATTTATTTCGTAGAGAGAGAGAGCAGGAACACAAGCATGGGGAGTGGGAGAGGGAGAAGTAGCCTTCCCGCTGAGCAAGGAGCCCAATGTGGGGCTTGATCCCCGAGCCCTGGGATCACGACCTGAGCCAAAGGCAGACATTTAATGGCTGAGCCACCCAGGCGCCCCAGTTTCTTTCTTTTTTTAAACGCTTTATTGAGGTAGTGGCGCCTGGCTGGCTCTGTCAGTGGAGTGTGTGACTCTTGATCTTGGGGTTGTAAGTTCAACCTCCATGATGGGTGTAGAGATTACTTAAAAATAGAATCTTTTAAAAAAATAATAAAAGCTTTACTGAGATAAAACTGACATACAATAAACTGCATATATTTAAAATGTACAATATAATGAATTATGAACATGCACATGCCTGTGAAACCATCATTACAATCGAGATGGCAAGCACATTCAAGGTTCCTCCTGCTCTTTTGTAAGCCCCTCCCCAAGTCTGTGACTGATCTGCTTTCTGTCACTACAGATTAGTCTGCATTTGCTAGCATTTTACATCATACATTATCTGGATTCTTTTACTTGGGTAATTACGCTGAGATTCACCAGGATCCAGTTCTAAAGCAATGTAGTATGAGTCCTCTTAGCACTTTATTTGCCCTGTCTTTTTTCCTACAGAAATTTGCTCACATTTTCAGCTTGAGCACTAGACTCTCTCCAGAAAGAAAAGTATATTATAAAGTTCTATTCACTACCAGCAAGGACCACTCTCTCTTCCCAAGGGAGAACTTCCACAGCGACCACAAGCCACAACAATGTTACCAACTTCAAGTATCTCCCTCTTCAAAAGGCAGCAAAATCAGATGTTGGTTATAGATTCTTAAATTCTTTCCTTTATCTTAAGCAATGAAGACCTAAGAATCTTTGCTTTGTTATTCACTATTTGGGTTCAGTCATTCCCCTGCGTCCCAGTGCACAGAGCTTTTGTCTTGCAGGATAACCAGCTCTTTATCACTCACTCTGGATACCTGGGAAATCCTGTGAGCAAGTGAACACAGTAATCCAAGCACACAGAAACAGTAGTTTGTAGAGGTTCCTCCTTACTATAGATTACAGACTGCCCTTCAATCCCGAATACTTCTCTTTCCCACCTTTAAAAAGGTAATGCTCCCAGACATCATGTTTATTTCACGTGGCCCTAGAAATTGAGCCAAACAAACATATAGCAATGATTCAAGAAAACTGTCACATTGTCATTTTTTCCTCCTTCCAATCAGTTCAAAAGATGAGACCCTGAAGGCTCCTTAAGAAGCACAGGTAATCTCATCCTGGTGTAAATTAGTCCGTAAGATTACTGCTTTGTTCACCTTGTGGGGGCTCTTTTGCAGGTGCCTAGACAGTTTGCAGAGGGCTGGACAAAGGCCTTTAAAAGGCCAGAGAGTCATTCATATAATCATAGTCATACAGTTGAATTTAAGATGACAAATACTGGAAGAAACTGACCACACAAGAAAATGGCCAATATTCTATTTTTTAATTAACTGGATCTAGTACCTAGAGGGTTCTATAAAAGAGAACCTATGGAGCTTTATGGAATTTTGGCTGTTCATGGAGACTGCATGTACACACTTGCGATTTTTTCTCCCACAGGTAAATCAAGCACCCATTCTCTTCAGTCTGAAGTGTAATAAAACTCAGCACATGCCTTTTCCATATCTCTTAGCTGGGAAACATCAATAGAGATCAGAATTGTAAGAGTTCTTAAATATGCCTGCATGCAACACCACCCCCCTGTCAATCTCCCCACATCAGAACTTCCTTTCTGTAACTTCCTGCAAGCCTCTCCTGGGAAACTCCTGGCAAGGGATCATCCCACTATTTTTTATATACTCTTACTGCTACAGAGCTACTCCCTATAATAAGCTATGTACTGTTTCAATCTTGATGCTAAATCTGCTGTCCAGTCACACAAAATTAGGTTTACTTCTTTTACCACATAACAGACCTTCAGTATTTTCTTTTTGAGGTTTAATATCTCAAAGAGATTTTTCTGTCAGAAAGAGAATGTGAGGGCTGGCAAATGGGGAAATTGGATGAAGGTGGTCAAAAGGTACCAGTTTCTAATTAGAAGACAAATACATACTGGGGATGCAATGTACCACATGATGACTATAGTTAACACCGCTGTATGGTATATCTGAAAGTTGTTAAGTAAGTAGATCCTAAAAGTTCTCATCACAAGGAAAAAAAAATTTGTAGCTAAATAAGGAGATGAATGTTAACTAAACTTATTGTGGTAATCATTTTCTTTTCTTTTCTAAAAAGATTTTATTTATTTACTTGTCAGAGTGAGAGAACACACACAGAGAGAAGCAGCAGGCAGAGGGAGAAGCAGCGGGCAAAGAGAGAAGCAGTGGGCAGAGGGAAAAGCAGGCTCCCCGCTGAGCAGGGAGCCCAATTCAGCACTCCATCCCAGGTACCTGGGATCATGACCTGCACTGAAGGTAGACACTCAACCAACTGAGCCACCCAGGCGGCCCTGTGGGAATCATTTTCAGTATACATATATGTCAAGTCATTATGTACACCTTAAACTTACACCTAGCTATATGTTAATTATATCTCAATTTAAAAAGGGGGGGAAGGTGCTATGGAAAACTATAAAGCAGTTGGGTGCTTCTTTTTCCAGGTTTCAATTACCAAATAGGTATATTTCTTCAAATGAGAATAACAACTTTGCAGCTCCTTTTCACACATAAATCAGAAAAGACTCAACTATCTGGATACCTAGACTAACTTCACAGTGTCTAAACACTGCTTCTCAGCCACAGCACTAAGGGAAAAATTCTTACTCCAAGGAAAATGCAACAGCAGAGGAAAAGGTACACTAGCTCACTAGCACACTACCCAAATCTTCCCTTTCTTCCATACATACCAATCTAGCCCAGACTTACTTCTGGTGTTTGCCTTCATTTAAGGGAAAGTGACCCTATTCTGAGCCCTAGGAGGTGGACCTTAATTAGGTACACCAGTAATGGTAATTGTTTCCTTTTTGAGACTGGTTTGGGAAGAGACCATGATTTGATCGTTATCAGAGAGACTAGGACACTTTGCTGGGATCCTAAGTAGCTAGATCAGTAATTCCGTTTCCTTTTTGTGATTGATTTAGGAAGGGGCAAGTGACTCAATCATACCCAGTGAAATATGAGAGGACTTTGCCAGGTGAGTAGCTTCAAAGAAAGGTTATTCATTCTATTAAAAAAAAAAAAAAAAGCCACTAGGAAAAAAATGGTTGTTATCTTTTACTGAAGGTAGTCTTGTGTACAGATGATGCCTGGATTGCAATATTCTATTAACTCAAGGAGGATGGTGGAGCAGAGAGAATAAGCCTGGATCCTTGATGCTATGAGGCAGATTGAATTAGTCAGCCTGGATCCTCCTAGCTTTGTACCTCTTGATACATGAGGTACATTATCACTTAAGCTATTTTGAGTTGAGTTTACCATTCCTTCTAGCCAGAAGCATCCTGAGATAATCAGAAACTGTAGGTGAAGAGAGGGACTACCTGGACCAGACAGACAAGCCTAGCTTTGTAAGTAGAAATAACTGACAGCGAGCAAGCGAGCAAGAGAGAATTGATGGTATCAGCTAAAATTTTTGGAGTGCTTATGCTGTGTCAGGCACTATCCTAAAGTGTTTTAAGTGTCTCATTTAATCTTACATCAATTGTATTAGATATATATTTTATTATCATCACTATTTTATAGGTAAGTAAGCTGAAGTACAGAGCAATTAAATAACTTACAACTGGTACACAGCAGAGCAGGACTCAAAGCCAGGAAATATGGCTCTAGCACTTGCTTTATTAACCTTTATGCAATACTTCCACTAATTAAGGGGACAGATGCTCAAAGACTAGGCAGAAAACGGAAGGTCTACCAAAGATACAATGGAATCATGGAATTCACAATTGGAAAGGGACGCAGAAGCTTTCTCATTTAGTTTCATCCTTTTATATTCACGGACCTTCTCAGTCAGGTTCCTGAATCATCAATAACTCTGAAAAATTGTTGGCTTGACCCTGTTTGTATACATCTAGTGAAAGGAAGTCATCTCTTCCATATACAAACCTTTTTTCGGGGGAAAGTGTAAAGAGGCAAAACTTCCTTTCCGGTTACTTCCTGCCACTGGCCTCAGTTTAGTTCTCTGTGCAAGTCATAAAGAACAAGCTTAATCTCCCTTCCATGTCAGCCCCTTACAGGAGACAACTTTATCTTCCTTCTTTCTCTAAACACTTCCAGCTTCTTAAGGCAGGTCTTTAAATCACATGGTTTTATTTCCTCACCATTTTGCTTCAGGATAAAAAAAAGCTTCCTTCAAGTTAACAACGGCTAGTTATGAGAGGTCAGAGTGTTACTATTCAGAGTCAAGATCCACCGGAAGACACACTGAGCTCAAAATTGTATTTCTTGAGCTGAGGCTCTCTTTTGTTCTACAAAATAAACTTTAACTATGTCCATTTCCAGTCCTGCAATCCTATGTGGAAGTCTCTCCTTTTTCTTATGGCAAAAAATTTCTGGAAACAAAATTTTCAATGCAAAAAGTGAAGGTTCCAGCTGAGGGACAAGACAAAGACAATTTAATAACTTTTTAAAAAGTCTTAAGGAGCAAGAATAAAGCTAGTAGAAAAGGGTTAAAAGCAGAGAAATAATTTCTACTCTTCATGGTTTATTTGGTACAGAGAGGAGATGAAGGGCTTGGGGCAGTCAAAAGAAGAAAAGAACTATTTCATATGTAACTTGACTAGAACAAAGCAAAGACATT